CAGTGCAGGTTTTATGCAGAAATCCTTGTACTGCAGGAGAAAAAGGGGTGGGCTAGGGGTCTTGTGTTGTGTGGCAAAAGAGATGGATCTCAACGGTTTTGTCCTGTTTCCAGCCAGTGCATGTTTTTGATATTTTATGTCTTGACATTGAATAATAACAAGATATTTGTGAAAATGTGTGTGGTGGCACTTTGGTGAGATTTTAGCTGGGGGCTCTTCATCAGTAATGCAGTGATACGTGAGATATAATGAAATGTAAAACCACCTGGACAAGGGACTGTAGTTTTTATTCCCCTGCAGCACCACATTGGTCTGTTGCCGCACAAAAAAAGCCCTTTGGGGCTGCTGGGGGACAGCCAGTGGCTGCCCGTGGCCCCAGAAAATCCCGTGTTGTTCTGAAGTGTTTTGCTTTTTCTGTCACATTCCTTCTGGGAGATTTAAGCTCTGTGCTGGTGTCCAGGAGGAGCCAGAGCTATGGCTGTGCTGGTGGGGCTGGGAAGTGACTGGGAATGCCAAAGGTTTCCTCCCCAAGGTCATGGTGCAGGGAGCAGCCACGAAGCTCCTGAGTCACAGTCATGTGCTGGAGCTGCGAGTCCAGTTCTCCTCGTGTGTAACTTCAGTAAATATAGACCCAGCAACCTCTTCCCTGAGTCCAAGTGGATTCAGGAATCTGCCACAGGGATTAACCCCTTCCCAGCCAAGCCAGCCACAGAGCTCAGCAACTGCCTGGGGCTGGAGGAGTTCTGTTCCCAAATAATTTTTCAGAGCTGGGTGACTCAGCCCTTTTGAGCCTCATGTGTGTACTTTGCTGTTTATTCCCAGGACAGGCAGTCCCAAGGGAGTCATATTACGCTGCAGGCTCAGTGTTTATTAACCAGCTTGGGACCTGAGCTAAGAATAACTTTTTTCAGTTGTTTTGATAATAGTGATTATTTTTTCCTTGCTTAGCACAGGCAGCAGCTCCAGGGGGAAACAGCCTAGAGAAAGGGTTTTCCCAGCAAGTTGTAGGAATGCATAAACACTCGGCTATTATCACCTTCCTCCCCTGAACAGCCTCAGCCGAAATATAAAATCAGGAAGGTGAGAGCTTTAAGGGAAACAAATTGCTCTGTCTCAAAGTGGAGCAGCTCAGCAGCACTCTGTCCTCTTCCAGCAGTTATTTGAACTTCAGGGATTCAATCCAGCCTTTAGATGTTTCAGAACCAACATTTGTCTGCAGAGCAGTACTTACTTTCGTGCCTTCCCCTCTGTGGGGGTTTATTTAGGGGATTTTTGGAGCATTTCCTCGCTGATCTCTTCATTCCCTCACTCCAGCACTACAGCCCTGGTGCACAGAGCCCTGTGAGCCCTGTGTGGCTGCACGTGACCATGTCACTCTCTGTACCCATTTAGCTGCTTGGCACAGAAAAAAGTCCTTTGACAGATGAATAGATGCAGTACTTTAATCAGCTGGTGTGTATGAAAAGCAGCAGAGTGCTGTGATTTATTCTGTTGGATCTTTGATAGTTTATTTAGGCTCCCACAGCTGATAGGAAGTTAATACCTGCAGAAATTTATAATTATTTATTTTTCCCTCCCCTTTTCTTTCCCCTATCATGATTTTAACATAAATACCAGTTAAGGCAACTTGTGGAAACTTGTGGAGGAGAAGCATTTATTGTTGTGCAATAGTTGTAAAATATGTTTATTTAGCTGATGTTTGTGGCCTGCAGTAGGGTTTGTATTGCACTTGTTCCTTACTTGTGACCTCACACCCACGGGGGTCATCTGTCCAAAACTGCCTTGGTTGATGACACCTTAATAGCAGAAATGCTTCTGTGGTCTCTAGTTAAGCCTTTATATGCTTTTTTCTTTATAACTTCATGCTGTGCTCGTTCTGGTAGGGTTTAAATACTACAGCAAGTTTAACCCTGGGTTGTGTCAGTGTCACAAGTGAGTGTCAGCAGTGAACTGCCTTTGGTACTGTGTTCCCAATTACGTGTTGTATAGTTTTGATGCTAAAACTCAGAGGACTTGTAGGCTTAGTGATAGCTGTGCTCCCTTTCTCACGTTTCCTTTGGCTTGGGTGATTAAAAGAAAGCGGGGACTGCTTTGGAGGTGGGTACAGACTTTGGGGCAGCATCAGATATCTGACTTACCCTTTTGGTCACTGCAGAGTTCTGCTCTGTCACATGCCATTTAAGCCTGAAGAAAATGTTTTCATGAGCCTGAAGATGGGGAGGAATAGTAGATATTTTCTTCTCTTGTTGCTGAGGTGCTGTGGGAACAGCAGTTTGGGATGAAGTCTCATCTCCTGAGATGTGGAGCTGGAGGCACAAGGAGCCAGTGATCATCTGGTACATTTATTGGTATTATTTATTTATAATATTTCCCAACACAGTCACTACCCTGTGCTCACTGCTGGCTGGTGAGAGAGATACAAGGGAGAATAGCTTTAAACTAAAAGAGAGTAGATGTAGGTTGGATATTAGGAGGAAATCCTTCCCCATGAGGGTGGGGAGGCCCTGGCGCAGGGTGCCCAGAGAAGCAGTGTTCCAAGGCCAGGTTGGATGGGGCTTGGAGCAACCTGGGACAGTGGAGGGTGTCCCTGTCCATGGCAGGCATGGGACTGGATGAGAATGATTGAAGTCCCTTCCATGATTCCATGATATGAAGAGCAGCATCTGGACCTGTGGAAGAAGCCTTAATCTCACATTGGGTGAAGATCCCAGATGCAGAAAGTCAGCAGCAGGATACTATAAAGGCAGGACAACTTCTCTAGGTTGTGGTTGAAAAGGGTTTCCCCACGTCTCCTTAGCTTTGGATTATTCACTCTGGAGTGACACTGACAGCACCAGCTTCAGCAGAATCACTCATCAAGTAAAAGGGGAAAAGAGTTGATGCTGCATCTGACATCTCAAAAAAAAAAAAAAAATTAGAAGGCTTCTTTCCATTTAGTTGTTTACATTAATTAGGTTTTGGCTGGAGAGGATTGGATCACTGAGCTCCTGGAGAGGAGGGACAGGGCAAACCTCAGAGGGTGCTGCTGCCATCAGGAGCTGAGCAAAGCATTTAATTGCTCTTCAGCCAGAAGCTGTGCTGCTGTATCAGTATAAACTCCTCCAGAACAACATTGTCCAGCTAAATACCCTGCCCAGTGTGTTTGGTGTTCTGGATCACAGTAAAGATCTAGTGGTGTATTTGGAGACATACATTTTATCATCATTTTGACCCAAAAAGCTGAAATGAGCAGTGAAAATGAGGCAGAAGCTAACAGCTGCCTAGTTAAGTTGTGTCCTCATATGTCTGTGCAGTCATGTCTAAGTTTTGCTCTTTAAAAAGCAGTTCCCGTGTGGTCCCAGAGTAGGAAGAGAAGGTGTTGCAGCCATTGGGTTTTGAGATGGGGCTATTTTTGGGCTGTGCTTGTTCCCCTCATCCCCTCTGCCATGTTTTGGGGAGGGGTGTTTGTTGTATTTGTTGTATTTTTCCTTTTTTTTTTTTTTTTTTTTTAATTCCCTGAGACCAGGGAATTCCTGGTTCAGTTGTTTACAAATTATATTTTCATTTACCTCATGTTGCATTTTAGTCAACAGGTGATTAGTCCAGGGATGGAAGAGCAGAAAAAAATGCAAACAATGCAAACTGTACCCCAGTGCTGGCACTTCTGGGGCATCTCCAGTTCTGGGGCAGTTCTGGGACCCTCATGGCAAGAAGGACCTAGAGGGGCTGGAGCGTGTCCAGAGATAGGAATGGAGCTGAGAAGGGGCTGGAGCACCAGGAGCACCTGAGGGAGCTGGGAAAGGGGCTCAGCCTGGGGAAAAGGAAGCTCAGGGGGGCCCTTGTGGCTCTGCACAACTCCCTGACAGGAGGCGACAGCCAGAGTGGTCAAGCTCTGCTCCCAGGGAACAGGGACAGGAGGAAAGGGAATGGCCTCAAAGTTAGATTGGATATTGGGAAAAATTCCTTCATAGAAAGGGTTGTCCAACCTGGCACAGACTGCCCAGGGCAGTGGTGAGGTCCCCATCCCAGGGCAGGGTTGAAAGATGTGTAGCTGTGGCACTTGGGGATGTGGTTTAGTGGTGGCCTTGCCAGTGTTGGGGAACAGCTGGGCTTGAAGATCTTAGAGAGCTTTTCCAACATAACCAACTCCATGATTCTATGGTTCTTGAGAGCAAAGGCTGTTGCAGGCTGGAGGCTGTTTTTTGTGCCATTACAATAATAAATTATTTTAAAAAATAATAATGTAAATTATAATGTTTTTGTTAAAAAAGAATAAGGAAAAAGGCGCTCTGAAAAGTTATTTCTAAATGTCTTGTTAAAATGCATCATCGGAAGAGCTCTCCATAGCTCCAGTTTATTGTTACTTTGGGGAAATAACACTTGCGGAGAGCATCTGGTGGGATAAATTGTTATAGCCCATGGAAATGGGTGGAAGGAGGAAAAATGTGCAGAGCCTGTAGCCATGGCATGCCTTCCATCTGGGATGATTTTGGGCTGTTCCATTGCATTGGAATGGCTTTAATGTTGCAGCAGCTTCTGTTAAACATGCTCAAGGTTGTTTCTTGCTGTTTGTCTGATTTTGGAGGATTTATGGGCATCATCTACAGTTCTAGCTTTCCTTGGAAGCTGGTTCAGAGGAGGCTTTTGGAAACAGGTGGCCAAGCCTTTGGACACACAGGGTTTTTGTTGGGGCGTGTGTCTTGTGGGTCTTGAGTGTCGAGCAGCACTCCAGGAGCTCAGGTGTTAAATAGTAGCAAACTGACTTATAAAATAGTAGTAAACGCTAACTAATAATGAGTAATGCAGCTGTTACTTACTAGTGGAGCTGCTATTGGAGCTACAAGCTGCTATCATGAGAGGCAATGTTGATGAACTGGTCCTTGAGAGAGGCAGTTTCTCCACTGCAATCTTTTCACCTTTATTTCCATGTCAATTACTCCAGCTGATAACGTGTTCTGCTCCTGTTTTTTTTGGGATAAATCATTGGATCCACTCACTTTGCTTTTCTTGTTCCCTGGCAGGCTCCTTATCCCTCAGGACAGAATGCAGCTCCAACCACGTTGGTGTACCCTCAAGCCCCTCAAACAATGAACACGCAGCCTCAGACCCGCTCGCCGGTAAGGAGCCCATGCTGGCCTCATCTCCTGTTCTTTCCTCCTTGTTCGTGTGTTTCTCTGTCTGTGTGTGTCTATAGCACATGGCTGGTTCTCTGGAAAGCCTGTTTTACTGACCTGGAAGCACATCCCGAATGGCAAATCTTGATTGAGTTTTTCAGACACTATCCTGGTAGGGTAATTTTGCTTCTAAAGTTCCTAAAGAAGCAGTGGAGGGATTCTCATCTACCTTCAAATAACACCATTTATTTTTAGCCTAGTTGCTTTCAGGTTCACTTCATTATAGAGTTCAGGTTCATTGCCAGAATCTTTCTCTTATCTTCTTTTTTTTCTTTTTATTTTTTCTTTAAGGATGTGTTTTATGCAGGGACAGACCAAAGATCAAACACAAGCAATTCTCTGCAGCAGCACTCGGTCTCCAGTGGCCTCTGGGCTTTGCTCCCAAGTCAGTGCCACTGATCAGTTCTAACCTTGGAGGTGCTCACATGTAGCCTAGAGCTTCTGTGTACTCAGATCTTTTTGTGCTGAGCCCCTTTTTCATCCAACTTCAGGTTTGATCATCCTTCACAGTCTGTTTTTTGGGGGTGGGGTTTATTGTGATACTGCTCTGCTGTTGTAGGACTTCAGTTCCCCAAACCAGGTACTTTCTGGGGATTCTCTGCTTGTAGCACAGCTCCACGTGATGTTAGAAGACCCTCCTAGGGCATCAGAGGTTTTGCCTAGCTTCTGGAGGCATGGTGGCTTCCCATCACCACATCTCAAGGCTCCATCAGCCGAGGTAGAAGCAATCCTGTGCCTCCTGCCCCTCTGTGTCAGGATACCTTCAGGTTGCCCATAACCCCCTGGTGCCTTCCCAGCCCTCTTCTCTTTTAAAAGTAAGGCAAATGCTCCTGGAGCAAACTGAAAGCCTCTGAGACAGAGGAGTTTGTCCACAAAACAGGTGTAAATACAGATATACCCAGGGCAAGGATCCCCAAACCTGCAACATCACTGGGGCACTTGCCCAGCTCTGGAGGTTCCCCCTCCAGGACATGCCAGGGTTTGTTCTGAGGCCCCTTAACCTCTGCTGATGAACGAGGCAGGTAACACTGACTTTGAAGTTCTTTGATGTGGACAGCTGGGAATTTGTCCTTAGTGCCCCATTCTAATCAGTAATGCAGGACACTGCTAGTAAAACTCTTTCCTCAGTAAGTATAATCATCTTTCTCTTTAATTGTTGCAAAGCACAGCTAAGCTGGTATGGTTAGAACTGGAGCAAAAACTTGACTGAAGAGCTGCATCTCTAAACCAGTTTTTTTGACAGCCCAGCAGAACAGTGCCAATACATTGCACAGAAAACTGGAAGAGGAGGAAGGTTTTGGAACAGAGTCCGGTTTACAGGTCCCTGGCTGGAAGAGGCTGGATAAAATACTGCATTGTAAGCAATATAACAAACTGTACTCCTTCTTGCAGGCAATTGTGCCCATGGCACTGTTTTTATTTCTTCTTCCTTTCTTTATTATATATATTTTTTTTTCCACATCCTTTTTTGTTGGCTACAGGAATGCACTGATTTTGCTTCTTTGCTGAAAGCACGAGCTGCCGTGGCAGCCTCTGCCAGGTGAGGTGGTGCCACAAGGGCCCAAAGCTGAATTACAGCTGGGAGGTCTCACCTGGGGTAGGACAGAGACCAGGGCCCCTTGGGCTTTGTTACACAGCAGAGAGAGAATCTGCAGGAAATTTGGCCAGTAAATGTCAAATTTTGTAGGGTTTTGGCCTTATAACTGAGGGCATCCCGAGGAAGAGCTTATCTGCACCGGTCAGCCTTGTTTGTATTGCTCTGAGCTCTCCTGTGTGCAGGTTTTGCCATGTGCTCTGCTAGTGCCCATCTCACCCCATGACTAAAAGCTGCTCCCACCCATCACATCTCATTCCACCTCCCACCCCAAAGCAAATGCAAGACTAGCCCAGGCCTGAGCTACTCCTGCATTTGGTTCTTCACTTGATTTATTTATTTGTAATTTAATTTTTTTTTCTAGTTTATTTTTTAACCGTCCCATTTGGTGGTGAGGGGAGGGTGAGCAGGGGACGAGGAGGGTGGCGGGGTGGCTTTGCCATCCCTGGGTTTCTGTCGTGGGCAAGCAGGACTGATCCAACCCCTCCCTCGAGCCGGAGCTTCCTTCATCCTGTTCTGCATCCAAGGGCCATTGGAAATGCAGAGCTCAGGCTTTTCTGTTCCTCCCGGGACAGCTGCCTTTGCAATCCAGACAGCTTTATGTTTGCTCCCTGTTAGCATTGCTCCCATAGCGGGAATTGCAAAGCTCCAGCTGGGGAAAGAAAACAAAATCCGGGTCCTTCAGCACTGCAGAAAATTCCCCATTAGCTCTTGGCCATGCCAGCCCTGAGCACCACATGATCTCAACACAAACGATCCAATTTTAGGACTTCTGCCAAAAAAAGATGTGCTGGAGAGGGTGTTGTAGCAATCCAGGAGGGGTGAGGTGTGCCAGCCCAACGTCTGCAGGGAGAGAGTCCATGGAGCAGTGAGCAGGAATGTAGGGAGTGGGGGGTATGGGGCAGGAAGGTTGGACCCAAGATTTAGAAGGTTTTCCTATCTACTGTCTTCATCAAACAGAGAAAAAATAACCCAAAGTGTCTATTTTAAGCCAGCAGTGACTACAGTTTGTTCTGTTGCTTACAGCTTTAACAGGAGTAATTCCCATCAAACAGAATTATTTCAAAAATTTTAAAATCAAGAGCCAATGGTGACCAGTGCAAAATAGATGAGGGCATTTTTCACTAACTTGGAGCTTTTATTTTATTTCTTGTAACACACATTGCAATCCACCATGGAATAAACTTTGGCTTCTTCAGATATAAACTTCCAGTTCTTGTTTTAGGCACAGTGAGAACAAGTCTTTTCTGTGCATCAGGGATGTGAGAGGTGCCTTGGCCCTGAAGTGAAGCAGTACAAGGTTTCTGCATCCCAACATTCTCTTTTTGGCTGTTTTCTTTCATTGGTGTCTAACACAGAACGTGCAGCCCCACAGAAAGGCTCAGCCCTTCCAGGGCACCTTTAGTCCCTTTTCCCAAACACAAGGTATTTGAGCTGGTTTAGGGGAAGTTGTTTGGGAAAATAAGGCCTTGAAGTGCTTTTATCTCCGGAGACTCATCTAGGTACCTGTTTCTCCTCATCCACAGAGCCACTGTCCTCCTCTCTCCCGAGCCTCAGGAGGATGCCAAGAGGCTGAGTCCTTCTGTTTTATTAAAAAGGTTATACCTTTTTTATTAGACAAATTTTAGCTTTTTAGCTTGACAACATGACCATGCTTTACTTTTTATTCTTCAATGTAAGGCTTAGGGAAAATTTTCCAGGGTGAGAAAATTATTTGGTGAACCAGTGCAGATCCTTCTTTATAAATTCTTGTCTCAGGAACAGTCTGTGGTGTCCATATTTACTCACTTCGGATGATTTTTATGACTTTCATCCAAGTGTCACCAAGTGCCACCATGAGGTGAAGGTAGAAGGAATATAGAAACACCAGGATTAGCAGAGTAGTTCTTGGAAATCTTTAAATCTAGGCAATTTAAGTGTTTATAAAGGAAAAGATCAAATGGACCAGTGAATATTTATGCTTTGCTTCATGTTTGGTGGTATTAGAGGAGCTGGAAGGGTTGCAAGTGAACCCAAGCCCACTTTTCCGTATAGAAAGAAAACTTATTAAGAAAGTCACTAATTAGTAGTTAGTTTTGATCACTGGCTACTAATCTGAGGCAGAAAGTAAACCGCAGTGAGCCCCTGAGACAGCAGAGGTGGCTCTCCTGAGCCATCACAGCAGAGGCACACAGTGGGGAAAATTCACTCTGATTGTGATCACTGCAGTTAATTATTGGAGCTCCTATCAGTAGAATTCTCTGCTCTCATTGGGGAACTCTGCTCGTTACACTGAGAATTAAGGGTTTCAACACCTAACTCAGCTCTGGAAATGGGTACCTGGTCATCTTTATTTATATTTTCCATTTCTTGCATTCATTTTTTATTTATATTTTAACAATCGGTTCCTTATTGAGAAATGCTTTTAATGTCAACTAAGCATGTTAAAATGGGATTATTTTCCTCTGCGTGTGGCCCAAGTGAGTGGGAAATGATTCAGTAGCCTGAGCTCAGGGCTGGGAACCAGGACCTCCTGTTCTCCCTGCAGCTCCCCGGGATAACCTGATCCTTCTCTTTCAGAGAGGGTAGCAAATCCCACTCATTATGGAGGGCTTTGCTGCCATCCCAATGGAAGAATAAAGCTGGAAATGCAGTAGCAGGGGGTGTGTGTGCACGGGGTGGCTGCTCTTTGCCTCGCAGGGATGTGCCACGGCCCCTGTGCCTCCTGGCTCTTCCCAGCCGTGAGTCTTTATCCTCCCCTCCCACCAAATCCCCAGAACGGCTCTGGCCCAGCTGCTTTAACCATTGACCTCCACCTTGAACAGTTTCAGAATCTCCACTGCTGCTCGTTTTAAGTTGGTGTTTTGGTTTTATGTTTTCTTCCCAGGCAGGATAAAGAATGCCTGCATCCCTGACTGCCTTTAGGATCCCTGGCAGCTTTGGCTGTTTATCCCAGCTCCCAGCACAGTGCCTGTAGTGATCTCCATCGTGGCACCTCAGTCCCTGTGTGTCGCTGTCCTGCAGCAAAGCCTTTGACTGTGTCATTGTTATTTTATTTTCTGTGGGTTTATTTTGCATAGAGTGTGACATTTTGGTTTGTTGTGGTGTTTCTGACTCTTTGTGCCTTTCCTTTTGTGTTTGTTTCTCCCGCCTTTCCTCAGTTTGCAGCGGGGCCTCGACCTGCCCATCACCAGGTACAGTACCTGCCCCTTCGTTATCACCCTGCACTAATTGGCTGGGGGGTGGGGGTGGAGGTGACTCACCCACTAACTGAGTGGAGGAAAGCAGCCCTGTAGTAGCTACTGGCACGTGCATAACCCTGCTAACAGCCGCCTGCACCACTGGGTGACATTGACTTCACCCCAGGGTCACTGCTCCTGTTAACCACCCCGCACCCCCGGGGGAGGAGAACCTCTAGGAATTATTGCCAGGGATTTGTGGGATTCCCTTGCCTTCTCATGTCATTAGAAACTTGTTCAGAATATTTCCCAAACGAGTCAGTGGATTCCGTTTCCTGAAGGTGTCACCTGAGAAAATCCTGCTTTTCCAACTCGGAGCAAAGCAAACTTCCCAGTTCCTGCCTTTCTTGTGTGATACACCTGGTTATGTCACCATTGCATTGCTGAATGTCGTTTGCTCTTATCCCACAAAAGTCAGAGCTATAGGCAACTTCTAGTATTCCTGTTGCAGGACTTGAGCTTTGTAAGGAACCACTTCATTATTAAGAAGGAGTACTAGGAATAGCACTGGCTCATGGAACTCAAGGGTGGCAGAACTGGCACTTCTCTAATGTCAGGACAGATACACAGGCTCATCTGTCCTAGTCAGGGTGTCTGGACTTGTCTTTTCTTCAGCTCCTACACTCCTCTTTGCCAAAACGCTTATCCTTGGGGACTTATTTGGATGCTTCTTGTAAGTTTTGAGGGAACAGAGGTGGCACTGCTGGTGAGAAAGAGGAGGAGAGGCAAGGCAAGGCAGGAAAGCTCTCCCAGAGCTCTCTTGGCTTGGAAGAAACAGGTTGTTTCTACAAATTAATAGGGAAAAAAAGTCCCATTAATCCTGTGGTATCAGGACAGGGGCTTGAGGCATGGAAGGTTTGTTCCAGGGAATTATTTTGTTCTCACTTCACTCGTATTACTGAGCAGTTGAACACTGGGATGAGCAGCGTGGGGAGAGTTCTGTCTAAGGAGAGCAGGTAAGTTAGCTAGGCACCCCAAAATCCCCATCATCCTTCTTCCTTCCAGCTCAGGGAGCAGCAGGGGAGCTGAAGCCTTCCAAAGCTGGGCAAAAAAAGGAGTGTAAAGAGTAGAGTGGGACATTTGCAGTTGTTTGCTCAAGGGCAAAGGTCATATGGGCAATGGTTTCTCTGCGTGGCTGGGATGGCGTGGACAGGCAGTGGTAGAGGAATGTTTGAGGATGACTGGGCAGCTTGGGCAGCAGTGGGATCAGGATTTTGTTTAGATACTTTTGTTCTTGACCTTAACTTCAGGTCAGTGTTTATACTGCACAATAGAGAGAGTGCAGAGCTGCTCTGCAGCTCCTTAGTTCCTTCATGGGTCATTCCTAAGGGATATATTCACTGGAAGCCATTTCATGTTCTCCTGAACTTTACTGAGCTATCTCTGAGCAGGTGTTGGCCCACGAGTCTTGAGGCAGCACAGCCTTGGAGGAAATAATTCCCGTGACTGGGGGCTTTACTGGTGGGACTTTACCACCAGTCTGTCAGAATGGAATCCAAAACTTTCCTTTGGACCCAGTTATCGCCTTGCCCTTACTACACTTGTGAATTCCTATGTTTTACTGATTTTATCATAGTTAGATTTTTCTCTCTGTTACATTTGAATCTGCTTATAATTATCTGTGAGAAGCTGTCACCATTAGAAAAATATTCCAGGCTTTATTCCCAGTTACTTCTGTCATGTGCTGCATCAGGACAGACACAGAGAAACCTGGGCTGTGGATGAACTGTTTCCTTTAATCCAAAACACCTGTGGTGTGGATTGGGGATGGAGAGAGGGATTCTGGCCCCTGCCATATGTAGGAGGGTCATGGCTGTGAGAGCAAGTTCATCCTAAACCCAGCACTCACAGGATGTTCGAGACCAACATCAATGTTATCCTCACATGAGAGTTTTTAAACTTGGTTAAACTGTGTAACACAAGCTGAGAGCTTTGAGACTGAGATTTGTAAGCTAGAAAATGCTAAATAAGTAAGTTGGCCTCAGCAGGGCTAATATTTGCTGCAACAACTCCATATTCCCTTTGAAGAGAGCAGCAGCACAATGGGATTTGCAATTCCCTGTGTCCATCCCAGCTTTTATTAACATGTGCCTTGTATTGATTCTGGGTCTCCTTCAGGCAAATAATGGATTGTTCTTTAATGTTACTGCCTGTAATTATTAGATCTTTAAGGTACTCAAATGAGTGTGATTTAAGCACCTGAAGTTGAATGGCAGCTTTATAAACAGGGCTTTTTCCTGGATGGAGAAGCCTGCTCTGGAGTTGATGGAGCCAGTTAATGCTGGAGAAAGTGTGACCACACCGTGTGAGAGAAAACAGCAGAGATATAGGGTGTTAACAGTAGTGGCTGAAGGGAAGTTAAGTCATTGCATCAGTTCTGGCTGGAAGTCAAATGTGCATCAGTAATCCCTAATTCCCAGATCACACACACTGAGAATCTACAGGAAAACCTCACTTTATAGGAGACAGGAAACAGCCCCTACAAAGTTTTTTGGGCAGTATTTTTAAATAACACTATCAGCTTGTGTTTTTCCCCAAGTGCTGTAGCACACACTGCATGGAATTGCTGCTCCATTTCCCACTTTGTGCACTGAGTTTCTTTGTTTTTTCTTTCTAAGTGGGGCTCTGGAGTCACTTTGTTGCTTTTGATCCACACAAATTACACTTAACAGAAGTTTTCTTCTAACCTGAGCCTCAAAATGCAAATTTTTGTTACATTTGAATCTGCCTAAAACCCTTCACTTATGAAGTGGGTTTATTTTAGAAATGGGTGCTCAGAAGAGGCTGGTGTAATTAAAAACAGAAATCAGAATTATAAACTGAAATGTGGTAGTTTCCTTTTGACTTAAACTGTGTTTGAGATGAGTTTGCTGCTTATGGCTCAGCCTCTCACTTGAGGTTGCTGGAAGAGTTTATTCCAGTTTTAGCTTGGGGTTACTTGAGATCCTCTGGGTGTAACTGGTACAACAGAGAATGGGCTTGACTGGGTGCTGTTGTGAAGAAGCTTTGGGACTTGGAGAAGTTGGGAATTCTCTCCCTGAACTGACCCAACTGACCATTTTGTAGCTTTTTTGGGGTTTTTCAAGTCAGAAAGTGACAGGAAGCGGCTGCTGCAGTTACTTCCCTGTCTGCACCCATGAGTGTGTGAAGGAGATGCCACATCTAAATACCAAAAAGGGCTTTTCCCCTTCATTGTATCATTTAGTGAGTAATAAAACTGGGAGAGTCTGAGGGGAAGGAAATGGGCTTTGCCTTAAGCCAGCCAAAAGAGCTGCACTGAGGCGCTGGGGAAGCAGGACCTGGGGATTTGTGCTGCAGCTCCTGCTCCTGGCACCAGGGAGCAAGGGACAGGACAAGAGGAAATGGCCTCAAGCTGAACCAAGGGAGGTTTACGTTGGATATTGAGAGAATTTCTTCATGGAGAGGGTGGTCAGGCACTGGAAGAGGCAGAGTCAGCATCACTGGAAGTGTTCAAACAATGTGTGGATGTGGCACCTGGGGATATGGGTTAGGGATGGACTCAATGATCTTAGAGGGTTTTTTCCAACCTAAACAATTCTACAATTCTCTGATCTTCACATCTCAGGGCTGCAACTCCTCAGTTCCTACTGCACTGACCATGCAGACACCTCCCCCTCCCTCCCCCGGGCCAGGCTCACCAGCCTTCCTGGTGGCACCAGAAAGAATAAAAATTAGTAACAGGGGCACAAGAAGCTTGACTGAAGTGCAGAGCTTGGGTAACAATTTGCTGAACTTTCCTTTTGCTTCTGTTCTCCACAACCTCCCACAGAGCTCTATGGACCCATCTGAACATCCAGCCATGATCCTAGGAAATAAATAGATAAATGCTTATTTACCAAGCTGAGCTTAGCACAGGTTTATTTTCAGGCTCTTATCCCAAATTAATATTTTAGTGCAGCTCTGAGGTCTAAGGGAGCACTCCTGGCACTGGATGCCATGGCCTGGAAATACAGAGCAAGTGGCAAATCCATAAAAAGCAGGAGTGGGTGATCAGAGGGGTCTGGGGCTCTCCTTGAACTCTGCTTTTCCTAGATGGCACGTTGGTCATTGTCTTTCTCTGGGCACAGAGTGATTGGGGAAGAAAATGAAGAAGATGATGGTAAATAAAAGGATTTGGGGGGGTTGGGGTATGTGAGCAGTGACTAAAGGGAAAATGGCCGAGAAGTGCAGAAGGGTAGGCTGGAGGTTTGGAGTGGATTTCCGTAAAATTAGTGTTAATTCCTCTGGCTCAGGTGTATGTCTGCAGCAAATTTAGTGAGTACAAAGCTGGAAAACAAGGTTAGCACAGAGGGCTGGCATGGCAGCAGGTGAGAGCCAGCCTGGCACTTAGTGCCAAGGAGAAGGTTTAATTCCATGAAGTGGGAGCTCATCAGCTGAAACCATCTCTGCAATGCAACCTTCAGCTAAAGCACTGCAGTTATTTCCAGTTACAGAGATTTGTGAAGCACTGGGGGAAAACCCTGTGTGGAGCCTGTATGCAATTCTGCTTTTTGGTTTTCCAGAACTGCCTTGAGCAGGGAGGGAAGGGCTGCTGGGACAAGGAGGGCTTATGGGATGAACAGGCAAAGGAGCTGAGCTTCAGGCAGCTGTTTAAAGCAGTGTCAGAGGGCTTTGCTTGTGCTCCTCTGGGAATGAGAGGGAGCAGCCCTGGGTGAAGTCAGAGACCATATTGCCCAGGAGCATTGACTCCAAGGTGATTCAAGAAATCCCTCCCTAACAGATTTGGGCAGATAAGGGATGAGATATCACTCAAAGACCATGGCCCAGGTCCTCACTGGTTGCTGAACAACCAAAATCTGACCATCATTGGTCAAAGTAGGGCTTAATTTTTGAAAGAAGGAGTCAAGGAAGGGCTCGTGCAATGCAGAGTTTCTCTCAGAAGCTTTTCTGTGGCCCAGGGTACCTTTGCTCTGGTCCTGGGTGTTCTCCACTCCAAATCCTGCACTTTCTAGAAGAAATAGAGACGAAATCTATCAGATTTTCACTTCCTGCTGTTCTTCCATAGGACATGGTTAGTGTTACTTGAAGGTGTTGCCTGTGCAGGCATCTCTTTGACCTTGCAAGGCTGATTTTTTTAGCAAATTAAATAGCAAATAAAGTAGCAAGAAACATTAAAAAAACAAAACCAAAAACAACCTAGATGAGTGCCCATCTATTTTAGCAGATCAAATAACAAAACATTCATAAACATGCCTGTGAACACTGCTGGCTGAGCTGCTGAGGGCCAGGGGTGAGGATGGAGCATAAAGCAGTTTATCAGCCAGGTGCTGCAGGTTTAGAACAGCCAAGCCCACACCCAGGTCAGATGCACAGTGCTCCCATACCAGATTTCCTCCAGAATCCTGGCTTTACTTACAGGAACTGGAGTAGCTACAAGTCATTCAGACTTTGTCAGAGAGGTCTCAGGTCACTTCCAAAAGCTTCTGATGGTCCTGTTGCTTGGAATAATGGATCTGATGTTCTTGCTCTTCTGTCTTCCTGCTAGGGGTGGAATTCTCCTCCTTTTCTCCCCATCCCTGAAGTTGAGCCAGCTCTGGAATAGTGTGGGCACACAGGGGGCCTCTGAGAGGTTTTTTTGACATCCAGTCTCCTTATCAGATACTCCCCTGCTGTTGTGGAGCAGCTCTGTGGGAGTGTTCAGTGCTTGTGGAAGAGCAGGTCAGTGCCACCCCCATTCCAGAGCTGTGCTTCCTTCTGCTGCAGCAGGGAAGAGCCTGGGCTGTGTCCCACAGAATGGAGCTTCCCCAGCTGTCCCCCCAGCAGGGCTCACCTCGGGAGCCTCTAGGGACCAGCTGGAAGTGCTGGGAACGAGCAGCTGTCCATGGCCAAGGAGTTCCAGTGCTGGCAGTGTTCCCTGCATGGTCTCACTTGGTTGTGAGCAGGTTCTGTAGGTGCAGCAGAAGCCTAAGGAGCAGATTCCATAGGTGGAGTCTCCCCAGCTCTGGCACTGGGAGTTTCCCTGCACTGCCTTGTGTGTGGATGTGCTGTTGATAGAGGTCTCACTTCTGCCTCCATCCCTTTCCACTCTGCATTAACACACACCTGTGGGGGATATTAAATTTTTCCAACCCTCCCTTGGTGAGACACGTGCTGCAACATGCTTACAGCTTAAAAATTATCATTACTCAGTGAATTGCAGTGAAAAAAGAAAGACTTTTACACTTTTTGGTGTCTTTGGGTATCGAAAAATCACAAACTCTGGTGATTTTCACCATAAATTCAGCAGCTGTGCTTGGTTCATGCCACACTCCTACATCTCCCCCACATCTCACAGCCACATGGTTTTATCAGAGCAGGATCATGGCAGGCTGTTGTTCTTCTCATTTGCTTTCTCCACCCTCACTTCCAAACTTTTCTCCCTGAACTGTTGCCTTCTCCAGCGTGCTGAGGACAGCTCTTCATACAGGTTAACAGGGTTGGACATAAAATCATTGTGCTCACTGTAACAGTGTCTGGTTATATGAGAGTCATTCAGGGCTTTCCTGGAGAAATGGTTTGCTGTGGGGAACAGCTCAGGTATCATGAAGTCTTCAGCAGCACCAGAATGGCCATTTTAAGCTCGTTGTCATGTCCAGGATAGAGACATCTCAGCTGCCTTCTGTCCTCCCCCATCCTTCCCAAACCTGGGGGGGATAATCCCAGCTCATCCCTTCATTCCCCTCTCTTCTTTTCTCAATCCTGGCACAGTCACTTCCTGTAACACTTCACTGCACAGCTAGCAGGATTCAGTGTGATGTGTGGTGGCCTAATTATTATAATTATTTTTTACTTAATAGTTAAATATGTGGCATTTTGTCCCCTCCCAGTCTTGGTGCAGAAAAGGAGAGAAATCCATGATTGGAGCCAGGGTTTCTGCTTTTTCTACCCTCTCTGAACCACTGAAAGAAGGAGAAATATTTGATGTTTTAGGAACAGAGTAAACATAAAGTCTTTCTGCAGTGTCACATTTCATGCAGTAAATCGTGGTTTGATTGGGTTTTTTGTTTGCGTTTTTTTTAAACCTTTATACTTCCATGTAAAACTTTTCTAGGAGAGTTCTGACCCTGTGGGATTCTGGCAGTAGAGTCTGTGGTACCACTCAGTGTCTTTTCCTGGCCATTTCTGGAAGGGATGAGTCAGAGCAGGGCAGCAGCTGACTGGAATTGTGTGCATTTAGGGTGCATGTTGTATCCTATTCCTTCCTGTTGATCTGTAAGCTGTTCCATTGGCTTTCTTTCTGTTTCTTGCTGCTTTCTTGCTCCGTTATTGAAGGGAGGATTCAGACCTATACAGGTAACTCTAACTCCTGGTTCTGCATGGCATCGGTATCTCTCACCTGGTGACTCCTCGGTCAGTGAATGCCTCGGTGCCCACTGCATCTCTCAGCTGTTGAGCTGCCAGCTGAGATGCAGAGATGCAGAGGGAGGGCCTGCAGCCCCCTGCCCGTGCCAGGGCTGCTCCCAGTGTGGCAGGGCCAGCATGGAGCCGGTGCCAAGGCTTGCTTGGTTGCCTGAGCCTGGCCCATCCGCTGGGACATCGCCTCATCCCAGCCTGGTGCGAGGCTGTGGGACCACCCTGGGACAGGTTGCCACCCTTTGGAAAGCAGGGCAGGACAAGTCACCTGTATGAGAAGGAGCAACACGAGGTATCTCTGGCCTTTGTGAAATTTTGCATTTTTAGCTTTTCTGGTGATAAATTGGAACAGTTGCCTTGATCTTTTATTTCCGTGGGGTATTTATAAAGGTGGAGTTATTTTAGCAGCCAACCCACCTTATAAAAAGAAAATTAGACAAACTCATTTTTCTGAAGTTTGCTCTGAAGGTTCATCTGTAAAATTCAGGCAATACAAACCAGTAATTACTAGTTTGTAAAGTTCTTGACTGTTTCTGCCTTGTAAAAGAGAAAGCCGTACATGGCCCTGCTGTTCACAGAGGAACACGGACTGTCCTGCAGTTTTCTGGAAGTGTGGCAACCCCTGGAAACTAACACCATAACTATAGTATTGTAAGGATATTTCCAATTCTTTCCCAGAAAGTCTGACCAGTTCTTTGTTTCCTCTCCTCTCTCCCTTCCCTCTCCTAGTTTTTTCAGAGGCCTCAGATCCAGCCTCCAAGAGCCACCATCCAGAACAGCAGCCCCTCCATCCGTCCTGGAGCACAGACCCCGACTGCCGTGTACCAAACCAACCAGCACATCATGATGGTGAACCACCTGCCAATGCCCTACCCGATGCCTCAGGGCCCCCAGTACTGTATCCCACAGGTAAATCCAGCATCCAGGCACCTGAGGAACTGCAGAGCAGCATTTGCTCCTTGGGTTTATCTCAGGACCCGCCAGGAGTGCGTGGGGATGTGTCTGTGAAATCAGGCTCGTAGTTGCATATCATGTGCCAGGGCAGGTTTAGATTAGATACTGGGAAAAATTCCTTCATGGAGATTGTGGTTGGGCATTGCCAGAGGCTGCTCAGGGCAGTGGTGGAGTCACCATCCCTGGAAGTGCTCAAGAAACGTGTGGATGTGGCATCTGGGGACAGGGTTTAGGGGTAGGCTTGGCAGTGCTGAGGGAACTTGGTGATTGTAGGGGGCTTTTCCAGCCTAAATGCTTCCATGACTCTATGGTTCAGCCTGTCCTTTCTCTGTATGAAGTATTTCTTCTTCTGTGCATGGAGGCAGTAGGAATCAATTTTTCAGGTCTCAAAACTGGTAGGAAACCAAGCTCTTGGAAAATACTTTGTGCTTTAAAAACACCAAATTTTACTTAATAGATCCACAGGCACTCCAGAACCTTGGGCCTCACAACACTGAGTGTTGCTGCAATCGGGGAGTGACTGTTCTACCTCAGCTCCTGTGTCTTCCTTGCCTTGGCTTTACCTTGCTTTTGGCACTAACATTTGGAGAGGTTTAGGTGGATATTAGGGAAAATTCCTTCATGGAACAGGTGGTCAGGCACTGGCAGAGGATGTCCAGGGCAGAAGTGGAGTTCCCATCCCTGAAAGTGTTCAGACAATGTGTGGATGTGGGACTTGGGGACATGGTCAGTGGTGAGCTTGGTGGTGGTGCTGGTTGATGGTTGGACTCAGTGATCTTAAAGATCTTTTCCAACCTTAATAACTCCATGATTCTGTGATTCCCAAAGCTGTAATTAACCAGCTTGAGGATCAGATCCCTGCTGATTGGGGGGGCTCAGTTACAGGTTGCCCAAGTCCTTGTACAGTGATGGTTGTTTTTGTCCCCCCCAGTATCGTCACAGTGGCCCCCCGTACGTCGGGCCACCCCAGCAATATCCTGTGCAGCCACCAGGACCAGGACCCTTTTATCCAGGCCCAGGTCCTGGGGAATTCCCCAATGCCTATGGTAAGTTCTGCTCGGAGACTTCTTACAGAGTCTTTCCTTGGTGTGTTTTTCTTGGTGTGTTGTCAAGATGAAGATTTATAATAACAAGCTGGATTAGCATTTGTTTGAACTTCAAATAGCTTCTAAATTTGGTGGTGTCACAGCCCTGATTATTCATTCCTGAAAAATCCCAGAGTATTGTTTGTGTGAGTGTGTCAGGAAAGGCTGCAGCTGCCCAGGATTGCCAGTGACCAGGAATGGGGTTGTTTGTTAGTCCCTCCTCAATCATTATTATTTATTAAGGTATTGTAGGTACATTTGGCAGTCCTGGTTTTCTCTGTGCCCTGCTTGGGAATGCTCCAGCAGTAACAGTGAGCAGCAGTTAACAGTTCTTATCCCAGTGTTTCTTGTTTGGTGTGTGGTGGGGGATAAGAGCAAGCCATGTGGGTTTTTCCCTGGATTGATGCTGCAAAGATAATTTAGTCCAGTGGAAGAGTCTGTAATGCCTGCATAGGCCAAAACTTGGCCTTTTCATGCATTTGGTCACTCACTGCTCCCTGCCCACTCTGCCACCTGTTGGGGGCAGAGATATTCTCAGCCTCCCATGGAAGTTCTCTGTTGGAATTTTGGAGCCTTGGGGTGACTTATTCCCTTCCAGACTGAACAGTAACAGCCCTGCTCACTTAGCAGAATTGCAGTTTGCTCTTCCCACGTGGAGATCCCTTTGGAAGGAAAGAAAAACCCAGTAACTTCCCTGTGCATCATTCAGAGAGGTCTCTTATTTTTCCTCTTTTCCTTCTTTTATTTATCTGGTCTGTGTAGAACTCATGGGAATCCTTGAAAGGTTGCCATGAAGCCTTTGAACCTGGTAATGCAATTTAAGAATAGTAGGGAGGGTTACTAGAGGGCAACTACTTCCTGGTGGTTGATCCTAGAGAAAATAGAAGAAATATTGTAATGGTTCTTCAAATCTGATCCATTAGAGGAGGAAATTGCCCAGTATTCCTCATTTTTGGTGCTGTTACAGATCTGCTTTCCTACTTCCTGCTTGTTTAGTGCCCTTTTATCTGTCTTAATCCTGTAATTAGGAAGAGGTTCATTTCCAGCTCCGTTCCTCTCCTGGAAGTGCCTGTTTTTTTGCAGAAAATGTTGGAATCTTTCAGTTTCAGCTTTAGGTTACTGCACCTCTGGAGCATCAGTGGGTGAAGTCAGAGCTCTCTGTCCTGCAGAGTTTTCCAGGCAGGGAAGGTTTCACCAAGGATTTGCCTGTACTTATCCACCTTTCCCTCCTGTCACTCCGTTGCTGTGTATAGGGACTGGGAATGCTCAGTCTCTCACCAGGTGCTGCCAGATTTGAGGGACAGCTAAATCTACAGTCCAGGCATGGAAAATGATGCTTACAGTGCCTTTTCCATAAACCACAGGATTTGGAGCCAATGTGGCTGCTGGATATCATTGCAATTTGGCAGGACCTAAAGAACGTGATGAGGGAAAATGCAGTGGAAGACAAAATTTGTGAAAATGGACAGTGCAATTTTATAATTCAGTTTTGCAGTTTACCGTTCTCAGATATCAGGGGGTTTCTGTACAACATTGGGGAAGACCTTGAAATTATTAGTGGGTAGGAGGGAGAATGAAAGTTGGTGCTGGAGAACTGGAAGGGATTAAAGGCAGGGAGCAGAGCAGAGAGTGTGGCACTGGCAAATGCACTTGGCTTGTCACAGAAGCTATTTCTTCCCAGAAGTTACTCTCTTCAGGATTTGGGTTTTTAAAATACTTTTCATAAAGGGAGAGGCATTCCCTGAGTTCTGCTGGAGCTGCTTCTCCAGCAGGGATCGCATTGCAGGTGATGTGGTTAGATCTGGTTTCTAGGAAATTACAAATGAAGGGAATTCACACATTGCAGGATCCCAGGCTCCTCCTGGGAGCACCTTCCCTCCTCTTGTTCTGTCACCTTACCCAGGCTCTGGGTTGGCTTGAACACCTGCTCATCAGCAGGGTTCATAGAATCACGAAATCTCAGGATGGTTTGGGTTGGAAGGACCTTAAATCCCTCTCACTGCCACCCCTTGTCATGGGCAGGGACAGCTTCCACTATCCCAGGCTGCTCCAAGCCCAGTCTAGCCTGGCCTTGGACATTTCCAGGGATCCAAGGGCAGTCCCAGTTTCCCTGGGCAATAATTTTTGATTTCCAGACTGCAGAGATGGTGATAGAGATTTTGAGGCTAGATCTGAAGTGGCTCTGCTGACCCTGACATTCAAAATGAGACATTTATTGAGTGATTCAGCCCAGCCAGGAATGTCACTTTGAGCTCCTTGATGCCATGCAGTGCTCTCTGCTCGGACAGGAGAAGATTCCCACTCTGAGGATGTAGGCAGGGAGCCTGCTCTCAGCTGGGGCTTTCCAGCTCTCACTCAGCAGGGGGAATGCATCCTTGGGAATTGCAAATCAGGCTGTGGTGGGCTGGTTCAATGTGCCTTCTTGGATTTGACCCTTTGCCTGAGATCCAGTGACCTCTTGGTTGGGTTACAGGCACAATCCAGATTTTCATTCCCAGTTAAAGGTTAGTTCAGCTGAAGAATAGATCAGATTGTGCCAGAGGCAAGTGCAAGCATTCAGTTCATCCAGAATCCATGCGTCGAAAGGAGAATACCCAGCAGCATCTCACACATTCCCCTGAGCCTTGATCCACGGGCAGGAGGCAGCTCTGTTCTGCCACCCGATCTCTGGCGTGGTCTTAAAGCATTTGGTTATTTATTGAGTCTTCTCATTCCACTGAGAAGACCGTAATGAACCATATTGGCTGTTAGGAATGTGATCAGCTCTATGGTGTAATTCTGCACTAATCACTGTGGTTGTGCTTTTTGTGTGCTGCAGCATGAGAAGAACGTTGCTTGTAATTAAATTTTCAGGTTATGCTTCCAAATAGGTTGCAGTTGACCTCACAAATTTTTTGTATTGCTTAGACTGAATTTCTCTACAAATGCAGAAAACCCGTGATATACCAGCAAAAAACCTTCCGGTTTGTCAGGCAGAGGAGTCCAGGAATGGTCTTGCAGTGCCTCTGTGCTGTTCACAGCCTCTCAGAAATGGATGATGTATGTGGCCAATTTTTGGTCATGGAAATCAAATAAGAAATAGTGGCTGAATCTCTTGTCTTGATGGAGCATCAGCTTCTGTTCAGTAGAAGTGATGCTAAGCAAACGCCGCATTCCCAGATGGATGGTGGAAGTTCTGGCCAGTGTTAGCTCTGGTGCTTAGTTTTCTGTCCTGAGCTGACCTTGTCCCTCTGGTTTGTGTTGTTCTGCCCCAGGAACACCCTTCTACCCCAGCCAGCCTGTGTACCAGTCTGCACCCATCATTGTGCCTACGCAGCAGCAGCAGCCACCGCCTGCCAAGAGAGAGAAGAAAACGGTGAGTGAGGCCCTGGGGGACTCAGTCCTGGGGTCTGTCCTGGCTGGGAGGTGCAAGGACATGAATGATGTTCTTAAGATTAAACCTGAGCTTTACCTTCTCTGAAGGCCCTGGGACAGTGAAAGGTGTCATTGCCCATGCTTTAAGATGAGCCTTAAGGTTCCTTCCATCCCAAACCAGTAATTTTGTGATTCCCAAAGAGATTAAGTGTAATTAAACATTGCACAGTGATGCAATGGTGCCTTATTTTCCAATTTTCTGTGGCCACTCTTCACTCTGAGTTTGTAACATCTCAGCCAATCAAAAAGGAAAATAATTTTGCTGGTTTTAAATAAGCATAAACAAAAGCAGCATGGTCTCCTCAAGCCTGGAATCCTCACCTGTGCTGCTGCTTAGAGTGTTCCCAAAAAGCCAGGTGGGAATGGGTGAACTCAGCAGTCTGGGAGAACGTTTGGAACTGGTTCAAAGTGACAAATTAGAAATTATTGAACATTACACCTTGAAAAAGGTGGAAAACCACTAAGTTAAGGACGTATTTGCAGGTCTGAAAGACCCCAACCACATTATCGAGGTGGATATAGGTTTGGAGAGTATATTCCCTCTCTTTCTAATTCACTGGGGGGAATTTAAGAGAGGCAGATGAATGAAATTTAAAACCATCTACAAGTGGATGGTGGGGAACAGTGAAGGTATATAGGGTGAATGTAAGCTTTAACCAGGAAAAGATGATGTGGGCTTGAACTTGTGATTGAATTGTTTGTAAAGGACTGAAAAGGAAATTTCAGAAGTATTTGTGTGAGAGTGCTTTGGAAACATTAAAATAACAGTTTCCTGGGGGTAGAAAAGAATAAAGAGATTTGGGCATGTTTCAAAATGCAGAATATTTGAATCTTTGGAGTTTTGAGGGTGATCTGGGGTGACACTTGATTCGGGAGACCGGAAGAACTGAACAATGTGTGAGCTGTGCTTGCAGGAAAGGCCTTTTTGGTGGCTGCTCTCAGCAGCTTTTTTGTCACCTCTTCAGTCCCCAGGAGTCTCTTTTCAGCATCCCAAACATGACATGACAGGATCCCTGATGCCATTGAAATGCAGAGCTGATCAGACACACTCAGCTGGGATTAAGGCAGTTCCATGCCAGCCAAGCTGCATTCTTTGAGGCAGAAAAGGGATTTTAAATGCCCAAGATGCTTCTCTCTGAATGTGCTGTTTCAGTTTGGTAATTGATGTTGCAACTGGAGAAATGAGAAAAAATAAAGTTACATATATTAATGTGCACATATCCACATCCACCATGAGTTGAGTATTTGAGTACTACAAACTTCCAGGCAGGGAAATCTTGTTTTTAATGCCATTGACTCTGTGTCAGGGGGTGGAGAGGGCAGGAATTAGTGCCAACTCTCAGGTACTTGTTGCTGTAGTTAATGAAATATTTTAGCAAAAAAACTCCATCAAAAATAAGAGAAGCCCACACTCAGCACCTTGAGTACAGTATGTGTGTTTGTGTGTTCACAACCCAGACCAAAGCCACCATCCCACCAAACTGAATTTGGCAAATCACGAAACCCTTCTCCAGTTACAATTTCACAACCCAGAATCCCAGAAGGGTTGGCTTGGAAGGACCCGAAAGACCATTCCCTCCCACTGCCATGGGGCAATTACAGGGGAGTTTCCAGTAGAACCCCTGCCCTGGGCAGGGTGATGGTGTCTCTTGGTTTGCTTGGAGTTGTTTGCTTGGATTTCTGCATGGAATTAATCTCGAGATTAATTCAGCCGAGACATTTGGAGAAGGTGGGCAGATAGAATTCTGTCTTCAGAGTTATTAGAATCTCCAGTTCTTACTGGAGGTGAAAAGCTCTGTTTCACATTATCCCAGACGTAGTGGCTCTTTCGCCTGTTCAGGGACATGGATTGTCTCAAGTGTCAGTTGAGGATTCAGGGAGTGTTCTGGAGTGGTTTATTTTGGAAAGTATTTTTTCTTCCCATTTTGGGGCTATGAAGAGACTCAAAAATCCCACTTTTTTCCTAAATGCTGCAGAGTTCTACAGGACTTGAGTTTGTTCTTTCAGTTTCCCCTTCCTCCACTCAGTATTTTTGTTTGATTCCTTCTGTTTTGGTGGAACTTGAGACTGACTTGCTGATTTGCTTTCCCCCTTTCCCAGAAGCTGGGCTGGCAAGGTCATGGAGTTTCCTGTTGGGGTAGAATACAGCCTTTTCTCCATTCTTGCCCTTTCCACTATTGGGCAAGCTTAAACTGTCTCCCAAATTTTCTCAGTTGCAGGAAACTCATGTTCCAGCAGCAGAGCCTGTATTTTGAATTACAGAGTGCAGATATTTAGACTGAACTGGTGTGGTTGATGATTAAATTAGGTTTTGATTAAATAAGGTGTTGATGAAAGGATGACATGCCATGCATTCCAAGCCATGGAAACAAGCCACATCCCAGTGTTCCTGCTCATCCCAGAGCATGTCCTGCTGGGTATGGTGGGAGCATGTGCTGCCCACGCTGTTCTCCACAAGGACAGCAGTACCAGGAACACTTGTGGGAATTATTCCTTTGTTATTATTCCAGTTCTTTCAATCCTGTAGATCCGAATCCGGGATCCAAACCAGGGAGGCAAAGACATAACGGAAGAAATCATGTCTGGAGGGGGCAGCAGGAACCCCACGCCCCCCATCGTCAGACCCACCTCCACCCCAACTCCACCTCAGGTAAGGAAGGGCTGCATTCCTCCCCTGTGATTTTTGCCTTGCTGTGCCTCTCCCTCACGCTTTCAACCACTCCTCTGACTGCCTCAGAGACCTGGATGCTCCTAAATTATAAATATTTTTCAGCAATTATTTTTTCCCAGGTTTGATCATTCTTAGCAGTCCATAACTTGTTGATGTGCTGCTGCACATTCCCTGGTTTTCTGTCAGCCGTAGATTTCAGAGCTTTTCGGCATTTCAGTGTTAAAGGAGGAGTTGGAATATCTGTAGGAAAGGAGGTGTCTGTTAAATCTTGTGCGGCTGAGGAAAGTCCATGTTTCACAGGTGACTGATTATAGACCTTCAGTTGCATCACTCTTCTTTCTGCCTTTGTGGAGCTGTTTTAGAGTTAACAGAAGATCTGGAGCTCAGGAATTTTCTCACAGAACTGTAATAAATTTATCACACATTTGGTCTCTGGGTGTTCAAACTTAAAAATGCATTTTTCTGATAAGAAAAAAATTACAAATATTCCAAATCATTTTCTGTAGCTCCTAAATCCTGACAAGTTCTTGTTGTACACCTTTGAGTCTGACCCCTTTAAGTCCCTGGTCAGAGGTCAGGAATGTTCTCCAGGTGATGGCTGGGCTGTAGAGCAGAGCTGGTGTTGGGATGTGATTTCTTCTTCCACCTTCTTCCCTGTTGGATGTCAGCAGCTTTTGGCAGCTCTTAGGTGAAACAGCTTTTCCTGAGCTCAAACCTTCCTTTCCTCTCCATGTGGGAGTAGATTTTCTTCTGAAAATCCTGTGCTGAGACAGGAGCACAATCCTGTCTGGGAGCACTGGTTGTGCTGGAGTGGGAGCTCAGAATTCCAGGGATCATTGAGGTGAAGTGAGAGCCTGGCCTAGAGACCCCTCCCTGAGATAGCAGGTTTTCAGCTTTCAGCCATTCCCAACTCAATCAAGTCCTTGTGTCTTCTGAAAGCACCATCTTGTGCTTTGTTACCGGTGTTCTCCTCTGGTCCCCATCGAGGCCAAGCAGCAGCAGGGCACTTGCTAAACTTCTTTCCATCAGGAAAGACAGTAGAGATGCCAAACATGGGAATCTTGGTGCAATCATGTCCCCATTTCTTCTTGCTACCTGACTTTCCCCAGTAGAAGTGGTAAGAGTTGGAACCAACCAGGATTTCCCCTGGTATTCCTGCACAGTGCAGTGAATCCACACACTTCACTGATCATTCTTACATCCTGAAATCTATTTTAAGGCACTACAGTTAAGTCAAACAGAAGGAAACAAATGTATTTCAAGAGGAAGTTAATAGGCCTGAATTCTGATCAGCTGTAATTTATATGCAGAGAACAGCAGTGATGTCCAATCATCTTCTCCAAGGTATGCAAATATTCCATTTTTTTAATATCCAGCCTTCCTTTTGATTAGGTGCTTGGAACCACTTCTGGTAATCACAGAAGAGCTCTGAAATTGGGCTCACCAGAATAAGTTCATTACTGTAACATAACTGAAAATTTAAGCCCACTTAAGCCAGGAAATTCAACATTATTGTCCCAACTGCTTCCCTAAATAAAGTCTTCGGAGCACGTTTAATATCTTGGATGAAATTAAATAGTGCCTTAATAACTGTGCTCAGGAATTGCAGTAGTGGGGATGGTACTGTTTTGAACAGGCTTGAGTCAGTAAATTTTTGATATTCAGCCATAACTTTTGAGGTGCTCCTGACTTGGGGCAGCTCCTGCGAGAGTGCAGGGGTAGCAGAGCTGCTGTTGTTTGTTCCACCCCCCTAAACCAAACCCTGCTCCCCCCCCCGAACCAAACCCTGCTCACCCCTCTGAACCAAACCCTGCTCACCCCCCTGAACCAAACCCTGCTCATCCCCATGAACCAAACCCTGCTCAACCCCCTGAACCAAACCCTGCTCACCAGGCTGCTTGGGGAGATTTCACCTGCTTGAGCACTCAAAATGTGAGTGTGCAGCCTCAGGGCTTGACAAGGCAGCATCAAAAGTGACTCACAATCCAATGAGATTTTTAGTATTATAGCAAATTCTAATAAAACTTTTTTTCTCTGAATCTGTTATTTCATTATTTAAATGCTACAAACTCAGAGGAAGAAACGTCCTCAGGAAGTGCTGGAGACCAGGCCCTGTCCCAAGTTCTGCATTTGAAAAAGAAACTCTTTTATAATAATAATAGTTTTGAAATTTTCTTTTTTTCTTTAGATTTGAATTACTCTATTAACTGACTCAAAACTGCTAACACAAGCCCAAAGCACCCTCTTCTCTCAGTAATTTAAGTGCTAAACATCAAAAAATTGTTGGAATTCTGCATAACATCAAAAAGTTATTGGAATTGTGCGGAAGATGAGCATTGCTGCCAAGATGAGCTGCATGGTTTGAGCCATTTCTGTACCTTTTGCTCAGCGGTGCTGACCAAAAAGAGTTTCCAAAACTGGAGTTTCCCAGTGCCTCTGCAGAGTATTTTAATTGCCTTTAACCAAGTAAAGTGCTTTAAAGTTCCTGCAAGAGAAGCTGGAGGTACATGGAGATATGATTTATCCATTAGCAGGACACTATTTGCACTCTAATTTTGCTGGGAAAAGAAAGAAAACCCATGGCCAGGATCTGATCATGGTATTTCTTCAGCATTGGCTTCCACGGAAGATCACTTTTTAAAGTGTGAATGCTCTTATTTTCCTGGCCAAACTCTTCCAGGTCTCAGTGAGTTTGTCAGAGTTGTGTTTGCTCAGTGTCCCGGTCGTGGTGGGGTAGAATAACCCAGAGCAACCCTTGGAGCATCATAAATCAGGGGAGCAATTTTCAGTGGGATTTTTTCCTAAGAACTCTCTAAATGCTCCGTTTTGCAGCTGCAAGGCTCAGTGCCTAAGGACCATTTCTTCATTTGCAATATAATTTCCACAAAATAAATGAGTGTTTTTAAGGAAAATACATTTCCTGACCCAAGAAGTTCCTGGGCTCACAGGTTTCTTCTTCACTGGTCTGTTTAGGTTCCTGTGGTTCTTATCACAGTTTCCTTTCTCCACACTGATTTCATCCATAAATTTTCTTATAAAATGAAAATCCTGATCGCTGAGGCCGAGGGGAAAATGTTCTTGAAACCTGCTTATTTGTAAAGCTGAATTTTCTTTGGCTTCTTCCCTTTGGCTGGAGGCTGGGCTGCAGTTCTTCATCCATTCTCCAGTCAATCTGTCAGGCTCATTCCTGAAAGAGGAGCAGTCCCAAAGAAAACTTCAATCCTTCACCCCCACTTAAATCTTCATTCTTATTTTTCCAGATGTGTTTCTTCCTGGTCTTCCTGAAATGGTGAAAAAATAGTGTCTTGGAGATAATTCCTTCTTTATCCTGCACTGTTCAGATGCAATAGGCAAAAAGCTGGAGATGGGAGGAAAAGCCAGAGTCTCAGGAAGAGAAGCAGGTTGCCAGAACATTTCTTTTTATAGGGAAATAAGTTTTGCTTGGATTTCTGAGAGCCTGTCTGCAATCAGGAATTAGGCACCCGTGTCTTGAACACTCTGCTCTCTTGGATTGATGAAAAATTCCTTTTCCTGTAGATGTTTAGAGTTCATGGATGTGGAACTGGGGGAGAGCAGACACCTGTAGGCAGCTGCCTGGCTTTCCACTTGGCATTAGGAAATTAAAATTTAGCCCTATTTTCTTCTGTGCCTGGTCCCCAGTGTGTATTTTAAGGGGATTTTGTGACCAGCTGCCTTGCCCTGTCTGTGTTCACTACAGCAAGTGGCTCACCTTCGAGTCTGGGGCACTAACTTCATCTTTCTTAAATTCTGAGACTAAATACAAAGGATTTTATCAAACTTTCTTGAGCACAAGTGAGTGTTTGGTGGGAGATAATTAAAATATGTGGGTCTGCCACAGGCTGGGGCTCCCTCAGTCTTCCTTCAGTCTTTGCAGGCCTTTTTGTTTTGTTCTTCCATATAGACAATCTCAGTCCGTTTTCTTTGGGCATCTGCTCTCCCTCCAATTGCTGCCCAGCTGGTTTTATTCTCCTCTTGCCCTGCAGGTCCCACCCCCCAGGCTGCTTGTGGATAGCTCTGGGGTTTTTTTTATCCAACTACTCCCAGTCCTCCTGGGGTAAGGAGTGATGTGTGTGCAGATACATCTGTCCCATTCATCCCATCCTGCACACATCAGCTACTGATAAATACGTGAGAGAGTAAATCAATAGATTTAAATCTCTAATGGGGTTGAAATAATGGATCAGTAGAGAAAGGAGTCAAGTCCCAAAAGTGAACTTAAATCACAGAGAGATCCAGGAGCCTTGGTGTGTGTCCTGCATGGAGGAGCATTCCTGCAGCTCCATGCTGCAGAAGTGTTGGGAGAGCACAGCCTGTTCATAAACGGTGTTGTGCTGTCCCTTCCTTGCTGTTCTTAACAGTGAGCATCCTTTTCCCCTTTTCCTGCTGCCTTTCCCTACCCTTCTTATGAACTTTTTGGATTTATCCAATTGTCCTGTGTATCTTTTGTCTTTATTTTTTCTCTTTATTCTCCCTGCCTTTGGTTTCTCCTCTCTATCCCACCCTGTCGCATCTCCCGGTTGCCTTTGCTCCCTGTTTTTATGTACCCAGGCTCACCCTGTTGTCCCTCCCCACCAGCAGGTGCCCAGCCAGGTCCCCGAGCCCGTTCCCACGGCGTTCGTGGAGAGCTCCCACCCCTCTGGCAGCACCCCCGGCACCGCGGCCCCCGCCTCCAAACAAGGTCGGTTCATGGAGATTTCTTCCCTCGTTATTTTGAATCATTTATTTTTTCCCTTCCTTTCTTGTTTCAGTTGGAATATTTTTGGCAGGGAGACCAGCAGGCAGCAAAAATAGGAGGGGAGGAACTTCTCTTCCTCCAGTAGATCATTTTAAGTGTGTTGCTAAGGGAATTAATTGTAATTTGCTAATGTGGAACTGGTTAAAATAATTGTCTTCAATCTTCTGTGTCCTAAACGTTGTTTCAGAGCACATAGAAGGATGAAACTCCTCTCACCCAAGTGCCATCCTCCAGAAACCAGCGTGTTGTCAGGGAAACACTTTAGCCAGAGAGGCTTTGGATCATTGGGATAATTAGCCACAGCAGTGGCATGGATCCAGAGGATCATATGGCTTCCCCAGAGCTGCTTGTGTGTCCAGTCCTGTAGGAATGGGCAACATTAACTAGGAAAAAACCCATTAGTGTGCCAAGTGTCTCATAAAGTCCATAGCAGGTTTTGCTGACTTTGGTAAAAATGGTACAGATGGAAAAAATTTCTTAAAATTCCATTTCCTTGGACAGCACTCTCAGGCACAGGATGGGATCCTTGGGGTTCCTGCACAGGACCAGGAGTTGGACTCGATGATCCTGATGGATCCCTGCCAGTTCAGGATATTCCACAATATACATTGGAAGGGAGATTTTTTTAAACTGTACAGGGAATTGTCCTAGGAGGCCGACAGAGCAGCCCAGGCTGTTCCCACACTGGAATTTGCAGCCATTGGAACCTGCAGTTCCTGATGTGGCAGCAGGATGAGTGCTGGGGCACAGAGCTGATACCATCATTTGATTCCCAGTTTTACCCTGTGATGGCATCACAGCCTCCTGGGCTCTGCCTGGAGCGACACATGCAGGGAAATCATGGAGTGCTGAGATTTTTATTTCAGAGTATCCAGAGTCACAGAATCACCAGGGTTGGAAACGCCCTCCCAGATCTTCAACTCCAGCCCAGCTCTGCCATGTTCAGTACTAACCATGCCCCCAGGTGTCACATCCGCACTTTTTTTTAACACTTCCAGGATTAGTGACTCCACCATTGCCCAGGTCAGTGCCTAGCCACCCTTTCCATGAAGGAATTTTCCCAAAATACAACCTGAACCACCCCTGGCACAACCTGAAGCAGTTTCTTCTTGTCCTGTTGTATATTCCCTGGGAGAGTTTTGCTGGCAGAAAACCAAGCCCCAAAGGAGTGCAGCTCTAGAAAAGGGGACAAAAACCAACATCTCTGGTGCTGCAGATGTCCTCGATCCCAGCTGCAGCACAATCACTGCTGGGAAGCCAAGGATGGTGTCCCTGGCATTGCTCTTACATGCACAGCCTGGACATGAGAGTTTGCCTCTTCCAATGCTGTGCCTCTAAACTGCTGCAGTGTCTGGAAATTGGTTGTAAAACGTTGAAAAGGACTTTCTGGAGCTGGGCTGGTCCTGTCTCCCACTTAAAGGCAGACTGTGGCTCCATTAAGATGTTGGTGCCAACCTTCAATGTCCCCAGTGTCGCCTGAACAAGGTCATGGTGGGTCTGATGTCCTTTGGCTCTGCTGTGCCTGTGCTGCCTGAGCTCCCCTGGCTGTTGATGCTGCCCAACTCTGGCACAGCTGCTCTTCCCTGTCTGTGTCCCTTCTGCCACCATTCCCGAGTCCCTCTTGCTGCCAGGAGCATCCTCTGAGCACACCACATGGTCACCTGGTAGCACCGGTGATGGCTGAAGTGCATCTGCCCTCGGGACAGAGCTGGGGCTGAGCTGTGAAGCCATGGAACCACAGAACACCTCCAGCCAGAAGGGACCTGTAAGGATCACCAAGACTAGGCCCCTGCTACTTACAGGACCACCACCTACACTAAATCATATGACCAAGAGCTCCTTGAACTCTGATCTCTGAAAATCCAGCACCTTCTATCACAGTATTTCATCTCTGTGTATGGAAATGTAGATTTCCAGGACAAATGGGTCTTAGCCCTCTTCTCTCTCTCTTTAACTTAATCCATTTGTAGGCAGCTGGGAGTAAACTGGAAGTAAGTATGTTTGTTTATTTACACAGCTCTGACAGTGATAGTTTAAAGATAAAGCAGGGCTTGACTGGGGTTTAACACCGATGAGCTTCCCTGTGTTTATCTCCATTCCATCCCAGAAAGAGTCAAACATTTGTTCCAGTCCAAAATTTGCTAAAGAGCACATTTATGTAAGCACTGCAGGGAAAGCCCTGGAATAACACCCGGCCGTGGCTGGGGGGGCAGAGCAATGTAGGGGTTGGTGTCAGTAATTAATAGACCTCATTAATAATATTTAAACTCAACTAATGGGGGCACGTCTGTTCAGAATTACATGCCAATGTATCAAAATGATTTTTCACTTCGATGTTGGGGGTTTTTTGCTTCCAGAATAAAAGCAGTGACAGGTAGGCCTGCATGGCTGAAGTGTTCATTAAAAGCAGTATTGTCGTTTCTCCGAAGTCCCATCTGCCATGTTCATCCTCATCATGATCAGATCCTCCCCATGGCCTTCCTCTCCTGTACCTGTTTGCAGCTGTTGAAGTTTGGAATCAGGCTTTCATTGATTCTGTGACACCCAGTGCTGTTTGTGAAGCTGCTTCTGTGAGCAGCATCCAGCTGGTGTGCTCTGCCCACAGGATCTGCAGTCCCTGTTGCTTTGGTCTGGAAGTCATTCCTGAGGCTGGATTTGGGATTGCATTATTTATATTCTGGTTTTTCTTCGAAGTCAAGCCTTTGGCATTTTGTAGAATGCCAGAATGGTTTGGGTTGGAGGGACCTTAAAACTCCTCCTGTTCTGACCCCGTTGCCATGGCAGGGACACCTTCCAGTGGACCAGGAATAGGAACTGCTACTATAATACCTTGAAATATCACATTATTTAGGTTCAAATTCTGGTTCCTGTAGATGTCCCTCGTATGTCCGTAGCAGCAAGGCTGACAGAGGGGAGGATACTGCTGGAGAGTCCAGGTCAAGCCAGTGACCGAGCCTGTGAAGCCTGACTGCAGGCCAGGCTGGTGCAGGAGGTGCAGTGGGATAGAACTGCATGGCATCAGAACTGCCCACGTTTATTCTGCTTGCAGAGGTTCAGGGGGATGTTTGGAGTAGTGTTATCCTCTTTTTAAACCTCCTTCCAAATCTTGCAATCTATCAGACATGGACAGTTTGCAGCATGGTTTCTGGAAAACAGATTAATGTCAGACCCCAGAGTTTGGAAAGCTCCAAAGCCCCTCTGCTGACACTGAGTCAGTCCTGGTGCCGCCTCGTGTGTGTTTGCATCAGGAGAAAAGATGGAAAAATGGCAGCGAGCCCAGCAGTTATTGTCAGATAAACACCACAGAGCAAGAACAAATTCCCGTATCCAGTAAAATCTTCCTCATGCCCTGGCCAGTCTGTGCCACTTCTTCTCCATGAAAGAGGCAGGGTCTATCCCACTGGGTATGTGAAAGAATCTTTAAGGAATAATTTTGCAAAAATTGTATTTATCAGAAAAATTTAAAAAATACCTCTTGATATTTCCCCTAGAGCAGCCAGTGCTTCCTGCAAATACTTTCTAAATATAATATGAGGAATGATCTCAATGTATTTAGGAAGAGGGATTTGATCCAGTTGGGATGAATTGATTTTTGTTTTCCCTCCCCAGCTGTGAGTTGTTCACATGACTCTCTGTAACAGTTGGCAGGGACAAGTCCTCCTCTGCCAGGACTTGGAGATTTGTTCTCTGGGATGGGGGTTCAAGTTCAAATTTGCTTCTCATTAGCCAAATCTGATCCTCATTCTCTGAAATCCCTCCTCAAATCACTTTTCTCTGTGATTTTGCACACACAGCCTGTATCCATGATGAGAACATTAGCCAGAAAAGGTGTGCTTTGAAGGAAGGGAATGAAACCTCTGGTTTCAAACACAGATGTGGATTTGTGCTGGTTTTATCTCTCAGAATTATTTTCTTAACACTTGCAAATGCATTTGCTTGGGGGCTTTTTGAGCATTCTCCTTTGACTCTGAGAGAATATCCAGGCAGTTGTTTATAGTGAGCTGTAAATGTCAGGAATGCTCCAGGAGTTCCTGCAAAGGATGCTCCAGAAATCAGAGGTGACGTGTTTTCTTTTTTCCAAACCAGTTCCCACATCCTTTTTCTTCCACGGAGCCTCCAGAATCAAAATCAGCTGTTGGGATACTCTTTGCCATCTCTTTCCTCACTTGTCATCCTCCTCCAAAGCCATGTCCCTGGGTGCCTCATTAGGTTGATAAACTACTAGTTTGGCCATGGGCCTCTGTAATGCTGCTGGGGCTGCTGACGGCTGCAAGCAGAGTTCACTTTTGCTCCAGCTATTCCTAAAGGTGGGATTAGATGCTCCAGGCAATTTCAAATGGATTCGCCTTCAAAAACCCTTTGGTTCTCCTTCAACAACCCTTTCCCTTCAGCAGAGCTGTTTAATTAGCCCCAAATGGAAATCCAGCAGAGCCAAACCTGTTCAGTTCTACCTGAATTTTGATGATTTGGGGTTGGTTGTGGCCTTTGACTTCCTAATCTGAAGAGCAGGTTTGTGCCTCTGGCTTTTCCAGAATTATTTTTGCTGGCGTAACGGTGTCCTGAATGAGTTTAGTGTTCCTGCAAGATCCTAAACCATAGTGGCTTATAGTTCTGTAGAAAAGAAGTGGGAAGCAGCAGAGCTTTAGCAGAGCCTTGAGAGCTGTGTGATGGTCATGGCAGGGATGGGATCACCAAGTCTGTTGCTAATCATGGGATAAGTGCAGGGACTTCTTTCTGCACAAGATTTTCAGGGTTGATATATTTCTTCCAAACATGTACATCTCTCCTCTTTCAGTTTAACCCGTTCCCCCTTGTCCTGTAACTTTTTGTCCATGTAAAAAGTTTCTCTCCGTGTTTTATAAGCCCCCTTTAGGCACTGGAAGGCTGCAATGAGTCTTTCCAGGTGCATCTCTTTTCAGGATGAAGAGGTGGTATTTTCAAATGTGGATTCACAGTGAGGTGCAGGGGCCTCTGGTGTCTTCTTCAGAGCTCCTTGCAGAATGCAGGAGTGGGAACCAAGGGAGCCAAGGCACCAGGCATGAACAAGGAGTTGCCTTGCTGTTGATAATGGGTTTTTTCTCCTTTCCCAGAAGAGAAGCCAAAACCAGATCCAGTATTAAAACCACCTTCTCCAGTCCTCAGACCAGAACCTACAGGGGAGAAGAAAGATCAAGCTGGGCAGATGAGCGAGGCCCCCACCTCAGTGGAAACCCCACCAGAACTTCCTCGTGCTCCGTCGCCGGCCCCGGCCACTCCTGTCGCAGCTGTCGCCACGGCTGCCATTGCTGTCACCGTGTCCAGTAAAGCCCCGCCCGCGGCCGAGCCAGAGGACAAATGTGAACTGGCCTCCCCCGTAGAGGAGGCAATGCCTACACCCAGTGCCACAGGCTGCCCGGAGCCCGCGGCCCCTGCTGCGGAGGAGGAGCCCGGACCCGAGGTGTGCACAGAGCCTAGCAGTGCAGTAGCATCACCCCGTGACACCCCGGTGACGGTGACGGCCGGGCCCGGGGTCATCGACGACACGAGCAATGCCAGGGCCGCGGGGGCCGAGCCTGTGGCAGAGGTGGCCCAGGCGGAAACTGCAGCGTTGACTGTGGAGTTGGAACCCACCGAGGCCCCCCCAGCGGGGGTGGAGAGCGCTCCATCACCTCCCAGTGCTCCTCTGGCTGCTCCTTCTCCTCCTCCCACCCCACCACCCACCCCACCGCCCCCAGCCCCTCCGCTCTCTGTAGCTGCTGGTACCACTCCAACTCCTTCTCCACCTCCTCTCCCGTCTCCGAGTGCCCTCCCTGTTGTCCAGGGAGATTTAGAAGGAGAGGAAAGCACAAGAACTACTCTTAGCGAAGAGGTAAAAGATACTGAGAAGAAGGAAGAGACAGAAGCAGATGGGCAACTGGAGGAGAGCCAGGAGGCTCTGAGTGTGAACTCGAGCAAGAGTCCTGTCCCAGGTAAGTGCTGGGCTCTGTAGGTTTGTGTGGTGAACTGCAGGATGAAGGAAAGGGGCTTTTTCTTCTTCCAACAAATGTTTCTGTTTCTATCTGCAAAAGAAAAAAGCCTGGTGGTGCTGTGTGGCTGCTGTGATTGTGAAATGCTGATCTTCGTTGGAAGGGATAGAAATCCCTCCTGGTTGTTAATTGGTCACTGACATGGATGTGTGTCCCAGGCTGGGGTGGGCTTATGCTTTCAGGGCTGGTGGAGGGGGAGTGCAGAGCACACTACTCTTCATGGAATTCCAAAATGGTTTGGATTGGAGGGACCTTAAATCCTATCCAGTGCCATCCCCTGCCATGGGCAAGGACACCTTCCACTATCCCAGTCCAAGCCCCAGTGTCCAACCTGGCCTTAGCCATTTCCAGGGACTGGGCGGCCACAGGTGAGTGGTCGGTCCAAGGGCCTGTTACTCTGAATAAGGGACCCTGAAGCTCTTGGAATGAAGCCTTTGAGCCAGCAATTTCCAGAACTGCTGGAGTGGGGTCTTTCCCAGCTGTAGAAATGTTCCCAGATGTAGAAGTGTTCCCAGATGTGGGAAAATTAAATGGACCATTCACACTCACCCAGACAACTGACAACCAGAGTCACACCTCATTGTCACCTCAGTGTCACACACATCTACCTGCCCAGCCTTGTTAGTGATGCTTCTGCTTTTCATTTGCATAAGTCACATGTAATAAAAATGTACAATTTACAATTTTAAATTTAAATTCTGCAGTTTGCAGTTTAAAACTCATTAAAATTGCAATTTCTGCAGCTGCCTTTTAAAATCCAGCCTTTTTTTCCAGGTGTTGTTGCCTGCATCTCTGGTTTGGCACTGTGGTTTTAACACACTGTATTTCCTATGGAAACTGGACAATGGCTTTTTTTGAAGGACTTCTTGGAGATCAGATTGTGAAAAAAGAAGTTAAATTATCAATTCCTTGTATTTGCTGCTGGAGGGATGTAATGGGGGCTAAATTCACACCCAGCAGTGTTAAAGCATTTCACATGTTGCATTTTCTGTGTCCTGTTCTGCAGTTATTTCAATTCCTTGGAACTTAGTGAAGCTTGGACAAAGAGGACAAACAGTTGGTTGTGATTGGGATCTTGTTGGTTTCATTTTGCTAAAGTAACATTTCATATAGGGATTTTTTTTTTTTTTTTTTTTTTTAGTTTTTCCTTGATAGATGGGAAATGGGCTCAAAAATCTCAGGCTCTGTTCTTAAATGCACTGAAAGGTTGAGGTTGGCCCTGTTCCATGTTTTTGTGATGCTCAATATGCTGATTTTAAAATCCAGTATCTACAGATGAGAAAAAAGATCTCTTTACTACAGCAACCATGAGGATTTTTTCCTTTTAATCTTCTTCTATTTATATTTCACTCAGGTCATTTCTCTGCTCTGGCACTTGCTGTTCTTCCAATCTGAGATTCTTCGTAACCCAAATTAATTTCCTTACAAAGGAGAGGAGAAATGGGACTCTGTAAATAAGGTTTTGCACAGGCAGGTTCCAGCTTGCACTGTTATTGCTGGCTTTGTAATGGCCTGTAGTTTAAATTAAAAAAAAAACGAAACAGAAAAAAAAACTTAAAAGCTTGCAGTGTTTGGGCTTTTAATTATGCAGAAGATTAATTTTAATGCTGTAATGTCGTTATGCTCCAGAGCACACATTAGCCAAGCCATTGGCTTTGGCAACATGGAAACAAGGAGTTCTCAAGTCATGTAAAAGATGACTTAAAACTCAGATTTCTATTAAAAGCTCAGGGCTTCAAAGAAAGCACAAAGCTCTCCAAGTGGTTTTTTGTGCTTTACCCCTGATTTAATAATCTCAAATTATTGCATTTCTCTGCCAGCCTTCTTTTCAGCAATAATTTTCCAGTTCTTTCTTGGAGAGAGGAAGAGAGATTGAAATAACATCATCTGAGGTTGCCTGCTAATTCAGGAAAGAGTAACAGCGTGTCTGCCATATAAGTTGGAAAATCCAGATGCTGACCCTCAGGAGCAAGGAGAAAGGGTTATATTGTTGTGTTTTTCTTGGACTAAAGGCTGAGAGACTTTTTATGATCTCTGGAGTTAGAATTAAACCTGGGATAAGGGAAACTTCTCAAGCACGTGCTGGTAGCTGTGAGCTCTGTGACTTTGAGCAATATTTCTTTGGGGTTTTCAGCAGAATAGTGTTTTTATTACAGAGCAGCTTGGCCACAAATTGTCCCCCTGCTTTTCCTTTAAAGGGAGCCGAGCTAGGCTGGCTGGGAGACAGTGCTGGAACCTCCTGGGATAAGCTCATTCCTGCAGCAGTTCCTCCTGCATGTCCTTTTCATAGCTATAACCTGGCCTGCCTGATTTTGGGAATGGGACCTTCATCTCCTCCTCCCTGAGCTGCTGGGGCAGCATTGCTGAGGCTCCCAGGTGGATCCCGGATTTTGCGCTGGAGGTGGCAGCTTTTTGGGGATGAGCAAAGGGATTTGTTCCTGCAGTGTTTTACAGGACACACTTTCTGTCCAACAGTCGGAGAAACCAGACTTGGATTTTTTGCTCTTTCGAGCTCTGTGGTGAGAAAGAAAATATATTCAGATCCTTAAACGTTTTTATCCTGCAGCAGTTCTTTTTTTACAGCTCAAGAAAATTACTTTGTCAGTGTTTACAGGGAGAGGCCAGAGTTGAGTTGATTCTGTGGGCATCCAGGGCAACCTCCACTTCTCCTTTTCTATTTGCATTAGGTCTCTACCAGATTTCCAAGGTCAGGGGATTCTACTGGAACACCCTTGCTGTATTTTACACTGAATTCTGCCTACTCTGAACACCTTCACAGCAAAGTTGGCAGCTTTAAAGGTTCAGTCTCTGTGTCTGTGAGTCACAGGATCATCATTCTCTGCTCGTCAGCATCACTGGTTGTGATGAAATGGGGCAGATTTGGTTTCAGAGCATTAAACCTATGATCAGAGCAGGATGTTGTAGCCAGGGGTGGTTTCTTGCTGCTGACCATGTCTCCTGGTCTGAGCTTCTCCCCAAAGGGGACACATTCCCCTTGTTCTCAGGGCACAGGTTGCATTCCTTCCTCCTCAGGAATTTTTGCCTGGAGTTTTTAGGACAGTCAGAGCTGTTATCTGCAAGGGGCAAGAGCACATGCTTTTTAAAAAAAGTAATTCCTACTCATCTACTCTACAAGGAGAAAAATAGATTATCAAGACAGGACCTGGGCACTCTAATCCACACTAAAAACATCCTTCTGGCTAAAAGTCATCAGCAGCTGTTGCTTTTTATTAAATTCTGGGGTTTCTGTAGCTACAGTGAGCACTTTCCAGGCAGCAAAGCAGGACAAGTGTTGGTGGTGGAGCGGAATTTCTGCAGAAGGTGCCGCCAGAGACCTAAGGCCTTTGATGTCACCATTCTATCATGGCTATTACAAGAAGCAAAGAGGAAAACAAGAAACTGATATGTGTCCCAGACAGAACTCCTTGGAACACAGGAAGTCAAAAGAACTTAATACACATGGAATTCAAAGGGCTGTTTCTTGCAGAGCTCGTTTATGAGACATTTTTCTGTATTAAGTAACACAACTGTGGTGAGTCCTGGAGTTTCTGAGTTGGGGAGGCTGTAACGAAGAACTTGGGCTGTAGTTGGAAGTACCTTGGAGAAATTTATCCAGCACCAAACCCTGGAGAGGCAGAAACATAAATCAGGTGTCGCCTTTTCCTTGATTTGCTGCCATAACCACTGGAATATATTTGCTTTTCCATGAGCTAGAAGGCGATGGTGAATCTTTGCTTTGGTCTTTCATGGTATGTTGGATAATAAAATAAAAATATAAAAGCTGGTATTAATTTAGGCTTCACAGTTGGCACCGCATCAGAGAGGAGAGGCCTCATGTCCTATTGGATGGCCATGAGCTCACGGGTGGGTAAATCCTGTGGGAAGATATTCCACAGAGGAACGTGACAGAGCTGGAGAAATGGGCTGAGCGAGCGTTGGGCCTGCTGAGCAGATCCCTGCAGTGATGGGGTTATCACTGGGAGTGGTGTCCGGGATAGTCTGGAATTAAGGGTTTGTTCCTCTTTCCAGTCCTAAAGTAAATCTGTGTTGTCACTGCTGTTATCTCCCTTGTCTCTGTAAGCAGTGATAAGAGCTCAGAGTGTTGGTTCTGATTTCTGGTGTTCCTTCTCCAGAGGAAAGAAATTAGCTGAAAAAAAGGTCTGGAAGTGTGAATATTGGCAAAAATAAACCTACATTTGGGCAGGAATTAAATTATTGGAGAGCACATGAAGTTGCCCAACTTGGGGACAGGAAAACGGAAAAGAAGACCAGAAGCATCTGGAGTTGTCCCTCTCCAAGAGCCAAACTGGAGACATTACTTTGTATTTCCCTACAGCCTCACAGATGAAGCTCCATCTCTGGATGAATAACACCATTGTCCTGTTGGATTTGGGGTTTGGGAAGGTTGGCACCCAAACTCACGTCAGCACAAATTCTCCTTTAAGCTCCTGCAGCAGAAATGTGAACTTGACAGAAAAGAAGAAATCTGGTGTCTGCTATTTTAAGAGGGGTGGGAAATTGAGCAACGTCTCTGGAGATCTCTGGAGATCCATCCCAGGCAGCTCCACAACATGGTCGGGGTTTGCTCTGGCTGCAGAACCTCCGGGCTGATGAAAGTCATGGGATTAAGGCAGGACTTATTTGGGAGGCTTGGCAGGATTGCAGCCTCTACAGAGCTTACTTTTGCCAAAAAAAGGTGGAAAAAATGTATATTTGAGCAGCAGTAGTGTTCACATCCTGACAGCTGAGGAAGGAAACACCCCGCACCTTTGCCAGCCCTAAATCCATGACCCTTGAGTTTATTTCAGTGCAGTTAAAAATGAAACGTTATTTTACGCTGTAGATGGTTTCCATGGTTTGAGTTTGAGGGGAGTGAAGTTCTGTCAGATTAAAAACTTTGGGATTGATCAGTTAAACTACTTGGCTGTGGCAAAATTGAGGTTGTGGTTTTACAGACCTAATCCCTTCTTGGAGAAATCCCTGAAAATGTGCAAGTGACATCACCAAACAAGGAGACTGAAAACAGCTCTTTGAAAAGTGCTCAGTTTTCACTGAATTTGTAGCAGATTTTGTGATGGAGGGAACTGGGGAGCCTGGCTTAGATCTGTGCTTTGCTGAATTCCAGAAATTACCACATTCAAGGACACTGATCATTCCCAGTCCTGGTTTTACCCCTGGATAGTGGGAATAACTGGGCTGTTCTTGCTGAGGTGCTGGGAGCTGCCAGGACCAGCAGTGAAGGAAGCTGGGAGATCCCAGTTGTGAGAGACAAAGCCATGCTGCAGTCTGAGCCTGCTGGGCCCTTCCTTTCCCCTCCTTTGAGCCCAGGAAATTCGAGATTTGTGCTGGGGGTCTGCCCTGCCCTTAAAGCCTCTCCCCGAGGAGATGCAGTGGATGGGATGTGCAGGACCTGGAGCTTGGGAGATCTGGGTGATTTTTCCAGCCATTGGTTCTGTGAACAAGAGAGGATGTTTGAATATTTAAATAAGACTTTCCCTTTTTAGTTAACTTTGCTTTTGGGGTGTTCAGCCTGGAGGTAAAAGTCTTCCATCAGTGCCAGTAGCTCCTGTTGCTCTTTGGGCTGGGGCCTGGATGTGGTGATTCCCACGGGAATCTGCAGAGTGTCTGCAGGTCCGTGGTCACCCTCCAAACAGGCAAACACTCTGGAGAAGCCATGGAAGCTCATATGTATCCTTTGGGGTAGTGGGAATGCAGTGAATCCCATTTGCTCCATACCCCTAGGAACAGAGTTGGTTTCTATTGACTCTTCTTATTTATCCGTAGTGAAGAACCTTTCAAAATTGTATTTTATTGTGATAAAGGAAATGCACACTGGGTTTTTCCACAGTATCTGCTGGAAACCAAAGGCCGGAGCTGTAAATCTGTTTGCAGTAAACTTCAGTCACAAAATCAGTCCCATTTGCACTCTGTTAACTGGGCATGTGTGCCCAGATCCGAATTTAAGCTGGGAGCAGTTACCAGAAATTAGGAGCAGATTGGATTAATGGGTTTGTCTCCTCTTCATACAGTGTGTGTGGTTTCTTCTACCCTTTAGGGGGAAAACATGACTGGAGTAAATCAGCGCTGATCTTGGAAATACTCGTGGTGTTTCCTTTGACTCAGTTGGCCAGGGAGATCATTAATGGTGGAGATACAAACCTGCTTTTGAATTGAAATATAAATCCAGCTCGGAGCACTGCTGCAGGGTTGAAGGAGTTTTCCTTTTGGATGAGATACTGGAAACTTGGGCTTGCTTATGGTTAATATTATAATGATTTTAGAATTCTTGAGAAAAACATGTTGAGAACAACCTTCTCTCCCAGACAGCACCTACTTGATCTTTCAAAAAAGCTTGACTTCCTGAAGGCTTTTTTTCCCTGCGTGATCCTTGTGCTGTTGGCAATGACCTCCTTGCTACCGCAAGTGCCATTCAGAGCTTGAATGAGCAACCTGTAAAATAATTCCTGTGTTTTAATGTCATTCTAATGATTGCTATTGCTGCATTGAAAGCCAAAGTGATTAAATCAAGCTGGATCCTCCACAATGCTGCAACTGCATCGTTTTCCTGTGCCTCAGACCAGCCCCTGAGAGGGAAGCTCACGGCCACATGAGCTTCGTGTCGTTCAGTGTTGGTAACAGATGCACATTTACATTGCAGCCCAAACCGCTGTAGCTGCACCAAAGACCTGGAAGAAACCAAAAGACCGGACCCAAGCCACTGAGGAGGTGACAGAGGCAGAAACAGAGGTGAGAGGGAACCAAAGTCCTGCTTTACTCAAATTTAAAGATGGTGTTCCTCTCTTGAAATTGTACTTTAGAGACATTGCTTTCTCTCATTGTTGTCTCACAGGATCCATGGCAGAGTTTTAGGGAGGAACTCTGCTATTCCTCAGCATCCTTTAGATAACAGGTGTCAGTCTGCTCCCTTTTAAAGCTCTTCAGTTTTCTTTAGGTTTGCCTAATTTAATTACTAGTACAGTCACAGAATCACAGACTAGTTTGGGTTGGAAGGGCCCTTAAAGACTCAGCTCATTCCAACCATTGCCATGGCAAGGGACACCTTCCACTAGAAGGTTCCACTAAACTTCCACCATCCTCCCAGCACTGGTGAACCCCTTTCAGTGAAGGGTGAGGAAAAAGTGGGTTTGGATCCCTCAGCACTGTCCCATTTTGGTCACAGGCCACTGTCCTGACATTGGGAGGTTCTTCTGCGCAGGGATATAATGGCAAAGGATAGTTTTCCTGATGACCAACTGATGGAGAAGCTGACAAAGAAAAATGCTGACATTTTCAGGCAAAACCACCTCAAGAGTGATTAAATTAGTAAAGAAAACCTCCCTGCTGTTCTGGTAGGGATATTACAGCTGGGAGCCGTGCTTAATATCCTAGGTCAATATGGGGTTAGAATTAATCAAAAAGGAAGCAGGAGAGTAAAAATTTAAAAGTTGACTGCCCAATGTGTGGATAAAAGCTGAGGTTGGCCAGATGTGATGCAGAGCAGGAGAGCAAAGGGTGTCACTGGGGCTGCACCAGTAGGTTCATCCTCCACACTTTCCTCATCCTCTCCTGTAGGTGTCATGTCTCCTGCACCAACTGGCAGTTCCACTGAGGAATTCTTCAGAGAATTCCCTTGAAAAATCTACAAGAAGCGTTTCAGGATGTGGTGCCATCAGGTAGGGAGGCGAAAGGATCAGGAGCCTCCTCCAGAGCATCCTCAATGAAGTTATTCCTTTGTTCATTGCTAAGATGTGCTGGGATTTCTCCCAGGAGAAGCACATTCCAACGCCTCCTTGTCTGAATGCACAATCAGGCTGTGTCCTTGGAGAGCTCTAAAATTAACAGCCAGGGATACTATTAATACTTTTTCTTGAAACCAAGATGCTGGAATTGTGGCTGGATCTCACATTGCCTTCCTTAGTGGGATCTGCTCCAATTGGCAGCAGGCATTTAAAGGAAGGATTCCCTGAAACAAGCATCATGTGCCTTTTATCATCCCTTTATCATGGATGGTAGGAGAAGAGGAAAGCAGAGTTGTCCTTCCAGGCTCATGGCTTAACAGTTCCCTTCATCCAATCCTGTGGGGATTTCATGGGCAATGCTGGGTCTTTCCAGTTGCACCATTAATTATCAGTGGGTTATCCATGGGAATGAGCTGGTAAATCACTCAGTGGCTCAGTGTGGTGTTCCATATCCCTGTGGAAGATGCATTTGCATTCCTGCTGCTCCCAAAAATGCCATGTGAATGCATGAAGAGCCATTTCACATGGATTGAATTTGTCAGGATGTTTCTAACAAAACCTCTGCCTCTGTCCATGCTCCAGCCGAAGGAGGAGGAGGAACCTTCAGGGGACAAAGTACTTGAATCTGACCAGGAGAAAATGAGCCATGGGCTTCAAGCGGAGAGGGAGCCCTCAGAGCTCAAACCAGTGAAAACTGTGGAAGAGAACGGGGAGCAGGAGGCAGAACCAGTGCGAAACGGAGCTGAGAGCGTCTCAGAGGGCGAGGGCACCGACGCCAACTCGGGCTGCACGGAGAGCACGGAGAGCCCCACGTACCAGTATAAACCAGGTAGGTCCTGCTCCACTCTGCTCTCTGCCTCCCTCCTGTAAGGGCTGCTGACACCCCGTGTGTCACCCTCTGGGTGTTCCCATGGGGGCTGCAAGGGGGTTCAGTGTTCACCATGCACAGCTCTGCCGAGATCTGCAACCCAGCAAGGCCTGAGAGATCTTCCAGGGAGGAAAAAGGGAAAATTGGTTTTGTCTTGCTGGTCATGGTCAAGAGAAAATCCTTAATTCCTTGAAATTTTTGTGCATTTGGATGGTGGCTACAGCACAGAGGAAAGGGCAGCATTGATTCCTGTGTGATCAACAGCTGGATACCATCCAAGAAATTTCACATAAACCAATATATCTCTGAAATAAGAGGTGGTTAAATAAGAAATGAAAGTGTTCATTGGGTCCTAAATACAAATATGTATGTTCATAAAGATTTAATTTCCTGCCTAAACAGTTGCATGCATCTTCTGATTTCTAAAAAAGTAAGGAAAATAAACAGTTTGTGATTTTCAATCCAGGCTCAGCCCATCTCAGTCCCATTGATTAGGGTATAGGACATCTATAGAGTACTTCTGTTATTTATGAAGACCTAACCTTTTTTGTTATTTATGAAGATTTTGTAATTCATAGACCTGAACCTCAATTAATCCACCTTATTTACCGAGAACTTGAGACCAACTTCTCAGTTGGTCCCAGTTTTTAAGCAATTTCTTATTCAAGTGAAACTTCCTCCAAATAAAGTAGTCATTTTTTTAGGAGACCAGAAATTAAAGAGTATAATAATAATAAGGAAGTACCTGGAGAACCTGGTGGACAAGGAGCACCACTGTTAAGGGACTCCACTGCAGTGGTTACTTCTGCACCACTTTCTGACAAAGACCTTGGTTGCTTCGGTTTTATTAATTCAACACAATCATATCATGGAGGGGAAACACAGAAGCCTCTTGATAGCTCATCACACTCAGGGTACCTGACTAGTTCACTAGCCAAGCACTTCCTGAAGTTAGTCCATAATTCATCAGCTGATGCAGTGGGAAAGCAGCATACATCAGGCTTGTGCAGCTGTCCTCGATTTTGGCTCTACTCTTTTCAGAAAGGGGAATTTCTGCCTTTTGGAGGAATTGTGTGTTTGATCCCTATCTCTCCGTGCATTGTGGGTCCTTCCTGTGAAGCTGCCCAGCTGCTCTTCACATTAAAACAGCTCGCTGAGAGCTTTCCAGGAGAAGGAAGCTACACATAAACTACTTCTTGTTGTTTTGGAGTTTTTCCATGGTAAAGGACAGGTACAGTGGGCAGGCCAGGAGTTCCAGCCAGGATCCAGCCAAACCATTTCTGCACCCCTGTATCCTGAAGCTCTGCAGAAATAAAACTGCTTAAAGAGCTAAAGTTTGCACTTACTTCTGTGTATTTTCATTCCCAGTTACTAAAACCCGTCGTTGGAGCAAGTCCCTGCTTGTGGCTTCTGCAGAGGTGTGGATGGTGAGATCCCAGAGATCCAAAGCTCAGGGTCAGGGAGAAAAATAAAGGAATAATAAATACCTGAAGGGCTGATGAGTGCTGAGTAATGCAGTCTGGCATGAGGGAGATCCAAAGGCAGCATCTCATACAGATGTTTTCCTTCAGATAAAACATGTTTTCTTCCCTAATTTGAAACAAACTGTGTGGTCAGTGCCGTAAATCACATCTCCAGGCCAAGGCCACCAGAGGCTGACTTTCCTTGTGCTAAAGTGGCTGTCAGTTTATGCTGTGATTTGCACCAGGCAAGGTCCTCCATACCCAAAACACCCCCACGAAAAATAGGTGGAAAGTTGTAATTCCCAGATCAGGGCCTGTAGTGTGGCTTCTCTTGTTTCTGCTTGTTATCTCCAACCTGGGTTGTTCACAGTTCCATGGTTTCATATTTTCAAAGGTTTTTGTTCCGTGCTCTGCTGTCCTTGACTTCATGTTTATGACTCCCTTTTACACAAAATGCCCCCCTTTAACTTCTGCACTTTCACACAGAAACAGGGAATTGTCCCCATTCCACTATATCCCACAGGAGAGCAGAAGTCAAAGTTAGATACGTGGGTTAGAACTGGAATTAGTGACCAGGTATGGTTGCTCTGGACCTGGCTCCGTTCCCCGTTATTCATGTCCCTTTAATGTTATGTATGTTGCCTTCCTCTCTCCCTTCAAAATGAAAATTAAATTAAATTGGAATTTCCCAGGCTGGTGTAGCAAGCCTCTTCCCTTTGGATGTACCAGAATCACATCTGGGTGAGCAGAGGGTTTGTTTTCTGTGACTCTCAGGGACTTCTCTCCCTATAGAGCAGTGGAAGCCCCTGGACCCAGAGGGGAAAAAGCAATATGACCGAGAATTCCTGCTGGATATCCAGTTCATGCCTGCCTGTATCCAGAAGCCCGAGGGGCTGCCTCCCATCAGCGACGTGGTGCTCGACAAGGTGAGAGGAGAGCCCATCAAACCGGTACGTGCAAGGTTTTGATATAAATAAAGATCCCTAATGCCTCATTGCTGGGCCATTTTCCTGTCAGGTTTTGGTGGGAAGTGGGACTAGTTGGTCTTATCACAAAATTCTACAAATAGATGTGTTGGTGCCTGATGGATGTGCACAGATGATTAAAAACTGAAGCATTTTTGATAGTTTTTATCTAGATTAAGTTATACCAGATTGTTATTAAAATTTGAAATTACCTAGCCATGAAAAGCTGAGGATCCAAGCAAGGCTGGATGGAGAGGCAATGGCTTCTATTAGATCAATTAATTGATCTATTAGATCAATTAAAAAGTAGAGAGAAGCTTTTGGGCAAACTGTTTTTTGATCTGAAGCACTTTCTTCACTATTTATAAGCTGATCTAGTAAAAGACCTTTAAGAACTCCATTCTCGGGCAGTTTGGGGATTTCTCTCCAATCTCATTTCAGAACTGATTGTCTCTGCTGGAGGTCTGGGCTTAGTGAAACACGGGATTTTTGAGTGCTGTGAGGCCTTGTTCTGCTCTCACTGAGAACTGGGGAGTTCCTTGGCTTTGATGGAACCACGACAGACTCACTCTTGAGACTCAGAGCTGTGGGTGATCCTTTTGTGCAGAAACATTTCCACTCTGAGTTTCATACCCAGGCAAATTGTTAAACGCAGCTCTATTCCCAAAATTATTTCATCTACCTTCTACTTCCCCATGATTGTTTCTCGCTGTTCTGTGTTTGAGCTTCCTGGGCTCAGTTGCCCATCTCTTATGTTGGTACAGAAGCCATTGCTTTGAGGGAAGGTGGCAGTTTCATGCTCCTGAACCAAGACAGGCCCGTGTTACCATGATTTTATCCTCTGTAATCTTTGAAATGTTTCTGAACTCCACCCATTTCCTCAATAGTCTCCTGAAAAAGATGTATTTTAAATTAAATGCTTATTTTTAGGGTAAGTGTGGATTCCTAAAGCTTGAGCAGTTTGTTAAAAGTTTTAATTTGGATGTTAAATATGACTATTATGGTTTAGCAGATGTTGTTGTAGGTTGCATGACCTCTGGTAGCTCAGCACCCTGAGCAGCCCCTGTCTGTGTGCTCTGCTCACGGCACAGGTCAATCAGCCAAAATTGCCACTGAGGACTTTGGACCCCCGAATCCTGCCACGAGGCCCCGACTTCACACCAGCCTTTGCTGATTTTGGAAGGCAAGCCACTGGCGGAAGAAACGTGTCTGGAAGTGTGAGTTTACCCTAACTTGCTCATTTAAAAAATGGCCTTTACACTGATGAAGTCCCTCCTCAGGCTTTTGAGCCTCTTCCAATGCGCCAGTGGTTCTGGTTTTGTCAGGATGAATGCAAGGGTGATGTTTGCTTGGCTGACAAAACATAGAGAAATTGGAAAAGGTTGTGGATGTTTCTCACGAGTAGGTGTTGTTAGGGAAGGGTTCAATCTCCTTCCAGTTTATTGTGTGAGAGGGTGGAAGCGTTTCCACACCAGGACCCGGCAATCGCGTGTGCAGTCGCGTGTTCGTCATACAACAAACCCGGCGTCAACACATCAGCTTGGGGGGCTGTGCTGAAAAGCGCACCAACAGAGCAAAGAGATTTTACTAACAAACAAAATACAGCAGCACCTGTGTGTTCCTGCTTTCTCTGTGCTTCCACGTGTTGCTTTAGTCACTTCATTCCTTGTTTTCCCACCTTTTCCGCTGCTTTTGTTTCGTGTTCCCTTCATCTGCCTATGTCTGGCTTTGCCCACACTCTGAAATCCCTCTGGGAGTTTTTCATGCCTCTGCCATGTCTTTTCCTGGGGCACAGGTGCCCCCAGCACGTGCTACCCCATCAGTGCCACTGGAGGAGGACACTGCCGCCATTAGGGGCAATCACTGGTTTTCAGCTATTGAGCTGCTTCTGCTGTGCCCATCTGGATGCGTCTAACGACACAGCCATTGTGAAGCTTTCAAACCTGCTGGTTCCAGAGGAGTTCCCTGAATCACTTCAACTTCCAAGTCTGCAGGTTTCCAGCAGTCAAACTCAGTGATTTTGGGTCAATGTAATATTTCTGCTTTGGGAGCAGCCTCGTGGCTGGTGCCTCAGTTCTGGGATGCACATCTGTATCTTGGAGTTGCTTTGGTGCCACAGTTTCTCCTGGAGCACCACCTGGTCCACAAAACCTCATGATGTCGCCAGTGCTTCCCACATTTGGGACGTGCAGGTTGTGCTGCGGTGCCTCCTCTCCTGTCACGTGCTGAGTGTCCCAAGCCCTGCGGTGTCTGGGTAACGCACCTGTCACTCTTTGTCTCTCCGCAGGCCTGCAAAGTGCAGAGCACCCCTGGATTGCCCTCCCTGGCTCGGTGCGGGCCCCCAGCATGCCCTCTCTTGGTCTCGCCTCACCCACCATTGAGGAACCTGCCGATAGGGGTAAGACAAATCCCCCCTTCTCCCCCCAGACTTTGCACCTTTTTGTAGAGTTGCCTTCTTTCCCAATACCCACTGTTGATAAAGAACGACTGGCAGAAAACTTTACAAAAAGGTGCAACCTTGTTTAAAAAAAAACGAAACAAGACTTGCATTGTACCCCTCTAGGCAGTCTTCAGTGGTGGGTGGGACATCACCAGCTGAGGGCATGCTGGGACGTTGGCCTGAGCGGGATCCGCGAGGGTCTGCACTTTGCAGACCTGTGGAAAGGGGGAGAAAAGGTAAGTCCCGCTTACCCCGTTCATTTGGAGCATTCAGCACATAACATACATCTTACATTTGCGCCTTTGCAGAGCAGAGCCTCTCCTTGCCTTGTTCTGGAGGAGGGCTGGAAGGTGACGTGGTTTAACCAGCCTGTCCTCGATGCCAGTGGTTGTAGGATCAGAGGGTTCTGAGCCCAGCAATGCCAGACGTTCCCCCCTCGTGCCGCATGGCGACCCCTGCGTGTCTGCTGCCTGCCCCCAGCCATCCCACCTCTGCCCAAGCCATGCCATGAACCATCAAACCACTGCCTTTTCCTTGCCCCAAATAACATCGAGCAGCTCAGCACTAACCGCTTCTGGCACACTGAGTCTTTTGTTTCGCTTCTTTGGCTTTTGTCTTTGTTTCCCTCTTTTTGCTTGAACGTGTTTTATGATTGTTTCTGGCACTAACCAGTGTTGCGTTAGATGGCACCGGGGTGGAGTTGCACAGGAGCAGAATGCAGCTGGGAAGGCTCTTTGGTGTAGGCAGGGTTAGGTGAGTGTGGCAGGTGAGGAGATGCAAACTCAGAGATGTGGGGCTGGAGCGGAGAGGTCTCTGCACAGGATGCTTTGTCCTTCTCAGGAGGTGATGGACACTGAGATCACCTCAGTTCTTGTTCCTGGACGGCACGACCTCTCCCACCATCGAAGATCAATTTCACTGTCTGCATTCATAGCCTCTTATAGAGGGAGAAGCACTTCCTTAATTCCTTGGATGGTTTCTAAAGTATTTCTGTGACTTGCCTGAGTGAGAGCACCAGGTCAGTCTGTGCTGCTGTGAGTCCTTGGCTTCTCTGCAGGAGTGTTGTACCTGTGTCTTCCTGCTTTCCTTTCCTGCCTCCAGAAGAGAGGTCATTCAGATTAATGCAGGAGCTCCTGGTAATTGCCCCATGCCCCAGAACCATCATTATTTACAGGAAGCCAGGCCTGAGCTCAGGCACGTCTTTAACTTGCTGTATAAATCCGGAGCCAAAAACCCCAGACCCCTAGATCATTTATGTTAAAAGTTAGATCCGTCTATTATTTTATTACGTCTTCAAAGGAGGCTTCTGTTCACTGATTGAAAACCCAATCACACAGTTGGAGCTTGAGTTTATTCACAGATATTAAAATCGTACAGTCTCAGAGAAAGTCTTTGTTGCATTTATGCCTGAAAGGTCTGGGCTCAAAGGCAGCCGGATGTGAGGAGGTGATGCGTGACACACTGGTGCTCCTGCATCCCTCAGTTTTCCAAGGGAGTCGCCTCCTTCAGGGGTGGGTGTTTGCTAACAAGGAACATTCACATGGATCCGTGCCCAAGGAAGCGCCGGCCTCTGCGACTCCATCCCGCGCGTTCCAGCCTGGCATGTTCAGGTGGTCCCTCAGACCAGAGCTGCCTCTGTGCAGGAGATGAGCTGGCTGCAGGTCACCTCTCCTTGGCTTCGCCCCTGTTCTGGGCAGAATGAGCTCAAAGGTTTGGGTTTTCTGGGCACACTCCAGCCTGGCTCTGATTACAGAGCTGTCTGCAGGCAGGAGGTGTGTGGTGAGCTCTGGCACACGTGGCTATGGCCAGTCAGTTTTCTGTTACATCACTGTCTGCTTTTTCAGCTGGAGGGAAGTCTCTCCACATTAGCAGCATGCTCAGAGCCTGTGCAGCAGAACTGTGTTCACCAGAGGTGGCTTGTGAAGGCGGGGCTGCTGTCAGGCCTTGCTGTGCCAGACCAGTGTCAGTCAGGGCTCAGGGTGGGAGCAGAGAGGGGACGTAGGGAGAGTTCAGTGTCTGCTTTAGAAAGGTGTCTGACACACAAAAACCTGAAGGCTCCCTGTTCCACTGTTGACTCCTCAGGAGTGGTCAGCTGGTGCAGTTGTGTGATTTGACTTGAGGATCTTAGAGATCTTTTCCAAGATAAATGATTTTGTGAATTAAGAATTCTTGGGGCTGGTGCCTCTTGCAGTTTGAATAATCTGCTGGGCTATTTTTCTGCGTGGCAGGGTATGTGAACAGGGGTCTTTGTAAGCTGAAGGGAGCTCAGTGACACCCTGCCCCTCGGAGCCCTCTCCCAGGCATCACTGGGCACACAGAGCAGGCTGTGGCATGAGGTCATTGCCTTCTGACAACATCTTCCTCTGTTGCTCTTATCCTATAATGAAGCCCAAACAAGAGCTCCAGCACTGCTGGTGTTCCTGTTCATTTGCACGCATTTACCTTGTCAGAGGCAAGTGGTTCAACTCCCTCCTGCCTTTAAGAAGGATTTTGCCTTTCAGTAGCACAAACCCAGGTTTGTGGCTGATGTATGACATTAAGAGGCACCAGCCAAGAGCCCTTTCCTCCTATTCATTGAAGCTCTTCAAGTAACTGCAGTGGTTTGGCCTTTTTGATGCTCATTGAAAATCCCTTTGTTAAACAAAGCAGTCTTTGGAATGGCCCATCTTCCATGAGTGGCTGCTGAGCAGATTAATTACTGCTGGGGGAAGTACTGGGTTTGATAATGGGGTTTTGCTGTGTTAGTTTGTATCTAGAGGTTGGCCGTTTGTGATAAATGAGTTCAGAAATGTGAAAGAGCATGGGGGAAGAGCAACTGGTACCTTTAGTCCTTAATCAGAAGCCCTCAGATGATGAAGAGGAGGTTTGGGAGTGTCTTGTGCCCTACCACTTGTACATCTGGCGAAAAACTCCCCAAGTGGGGCAGGTTTTGTGCCTGTTTGGGAGAAGCATCACATTACACAGGATTACAGAGGTGCTTAGGCAGTTCCAAAGCACCTGATTCCCTTTCTCATGTGAAACCCAGAGTTTGTCCCATATCTGTTAGGATCTTTGTTTTTTAGAGTGCAGGAGCTGCAGTGATACTCCTTCACTGTGTTTTACATAATTCCCATCTCAAAATGGCTTTGTTGGAAGCAATCTCCAGTAAAACTTAACATTTCTGGCTAATTTATCATTGTCTAAGTGCTTGGGATGGCATGTTTGAAATCCACCTGTAAGGGCTGAATTCTCCCACACTTTGCTGTGATGTCTCAGTTACGAAGTTTCTGGCTCCCCAGAGGCACTTTTGGCCAGTTGGAGTCAGTTCTGTCTCCTGTAGCAGCACCCGGAGCACCGCCAGGTTGTGTAGGCAGAGTCATCCCATTTCTCTGTTGGGAAAAGCTGCCCAGAGAAATGTATTTGATGTCTCCACATTCCCTGTGGACAGCCTGGAGCAGTACTGGGTCGGAGGGAGTCCTCGTGTCCCAGCAGGTTGTGCTGGCGCTCAGCAGTGCCATCATCGGGTGTTGGCATTTGTCCTGGAGTGTGTTATCCAGCCTAAAGTGGGATATAACAAGGAATGTTTTTGTCCTAGTTGTTGAATGTTGGACCGAGGAGATCTCAGCCAGGCCAGAGGAGGGAGCCCAGGAAGATCATCACTGTGTGTGTGAAGGAGGACGTGCACCTGAAGAAGGCAGAGAACGCCTGGAAGCCAAGCCTGAAGAGGGAAAACCAAACGGAGGACCCGGAAAATGTCAAAACCCAGGTGAGAGTGTAAGCAGGTCTGCGGGTGCAGCAGCTACACCAGGTAATGGTAATGTGCCTTCCCTTTTGTATCACCGTGAGAAAGGGCAATGAATTGCAGTTGGAATCCCAGCTTTCCCCTACCTTGATGGTATTTTTTGCATGTTTATTCTTGACGTGGCTTTTAAATGCCAGTCCTGTATATTAAGCAGAGAACCCCGAACAACCTCCTGGTTGTCTCCAGGATTGCTTTCCTACTGCTGTTTTAGTGGAATATTTCTGTCTCTATTCTAAAGCAAAGAGCCTTACATTCCCAGGACAGAACTAATTTTTCATCTCCTTTTAGACCACATTTCTGCCCTGAATCGTCAGCAAGATTGAGGTTCCTCTGTGAAATCCCTCACTTGGTCCTGCCCAGCCCAACGGTGCCACTGAAGCTCCCTCTGTCCTCCTCATCCTCTTCTCCATGGGGCATTCGCTCTGGGAGGAGGTGTTTGTCTGGGGGTCGAACTTGTAATTTGTAGGATAAGTTGGGATGGTCTTGAAGGACACTGGAATTCTGTTCTTGGAGCTCATGGTGGCATCGTTGACCTCATTATCATCCTGGATAGGAAAAAATAAAGTGTCTTAAAGTGAATTATAGGAGAGGTTGGTTACCTCTGGCTGAAGGAAACAGAGGCCACTCCCTGTTAATTTATATCTCATGGATTAAACTGATATTAAGAAGAGTATTTCTGACAGGAAGGGCTTTGTGCCTCTGTTGCACTTGATAAAAGCACTTAGGTGTTTCCAAAACTCCTGCCCTGTAGTCTTGGTCTTTGGTAGCCAAGTGAGAACTGGGGTTGAGCTGTGCAGAAACATGTGGTGTGTCCCTCAGCTTCCCAAACATTCCTACAGGATGTCTGCATTCCCCTGTGGGAAGCATCCTGGCTCATTCCTGAAATCTCCCTGCACCACCTGTGCACCTGTGCCTGAACTTGCAGTGTTTCTTTCATTCAGGAGCTGTTCCGCAAGGTACGGAGCATCTTGAACAAGCTGACGCCCCAGATGTTCAACCAGCTCATGAAACAGGTGACAGACCTGACAGTGGACACGGAGGAGAGGCTGAAGGGAGTCATCGACCTGGTCTTCGAGAAGGCCATCGACGAGCCCAGCTTCTCCGTGGCCTACGCCAACATGTGCCGGTGCCTGGTGACGGTAAGAGCCTCTGGCATGGGAACTCCCCTGGGCAGTGACAGAAACTGCAGAGAGCAGAGCTAAATATCAGTTTCTGAGTGTAAGTAAGAATAATTGATGTGGAGTATTATATTGTTGGCCATGCCCAAGGCAGAGGGATTTGCTTGGAGCAGCTGTTGGGAGTTGAGAACTCCTTGCTCCACCTGGTCACAAGATGAGTTGTGTTTGGCAAGTTCATGGAATCACAGAAGCATGGAATAGTATAGGTGGGAAAGGGAACTTAAAGTTCTTCTCATTCTACCCCCTACCATGGGCAGGGACACCTTCCACTATCCCAGGTTGCTCCAAGCCCTGTCCAGCCTGGCACTGGACGCTTCTGGGGTGGGGCAACCACGACGGCTCTGGGCACCCTGTGCCAGGGCCTTACCACTGTTCTGTGTCTGTCAGTTCCAAGGGAGCCCAAGATGAGCCAGGCTTTGCACAGATCATTCTCAGATGGTGAATTTGGGACAAAAGAGCCCCCTTTTCCCCAGGCCCTTCATGACATGTGGTGAAGGAATATGGCTTAAGCCATCAGCACACAATAGGAGTGTTTTTAAGGAATTGTATGGATGGAAATGTAATTCATTCCCTGGGCAGAGGTGGTGTCAGCCAAGTTTGGAGTGTGACTTTACATCTGCAATGTAAAACTCTGCTGGAGATTCTGATGTGAGGCTTTACTTTCACAGCCTTGTGGAGCTGCACAGCTCAACATGAAGAGCAAAATAAATTGTTATAGATGACCCCTCCTCTGTGGAGTTTATTTCTGCTGATGTTTTTCTTCCTTCTCACTCCAGCTGAAAGTGCCCATGGCAGACAAACCTGGGAGCACAGTAAATTTCCGTAAGTTGCTGTTAAATCGCTGCCAGAAGGAATTTGAGAAGGACAAGGCTGACGATGATGTCTTTGAAAAGAAGCAGAAAGAACTCGAAGCTGCCACCACTGTAAGTGGTGTTTTTCTCCATAAGTTCTCAGATCTCCCTCAGAAATTTTTTTCTTTTTGAGACGGCAGTTGACTGGGGGGATTTTGGAGTTGAGACTTTCGTTCTGTCACTGTGCCTGAGGATGATAAAAAATATTTGCCTTGACAGTGGGTTTATCCCAGCATTTTCCTGGGCTTTAGGAGAAAAAGAGGGAGCAGTGTCTATAGACATACAGCTGGATCTTTCAAAGAGTTCTGTGCACTGGGAACGTGGTTTTGCAGAGCTGTTTTCCTGTTTTACAGCCAGAAGAGAAGACACGGCTCCATGATGAGCTGGAAGAGGCCAAGGACAAAGCCCGGCGGAGATCCATTGGGAATATAAAATTCATCGGCGAGCTTTTCAAGCTGAAGATGCTGACGGAGGCCATCATGCATGACTGCGTGGTGAAGCTGCTGAAAAACCACGACGAGGAGTCCCTCGAGTGCCTTTGCCGCCTGCTCACGACCATTGGCAAGGACCTGGACTTTGAGAAGGCAAAGGTGGGGCAGGAATGAGAGCGAGGGATGAGGCTCTCTGGGCAGGGCTGGAAAAATGGGTGTGGGATGTTTTTATTTGAAGATTTGTTTTTTCTTCAGGAATTTCCATACTGCATGAGGAAATCATCCACTCTTCTGTGGATGTTTCGTCATGACCTGGCCTTGCTCCCTGCTCTGTAATAGGTTCTGTATCATTTTCCGCAGTGTTCTCCAGTTGTTATTTCCAAAGATTTTATCCAAACACACATTCCAGAAATGCTCAACATTTACTTTTTCCGAGTTGAATGTACTTCTTTCTTTGTAGTTCCCAAAACATTAATATTTCCAGTTGAAGGTTTGTTTCCTACAGAAGCCACCATGAACTGTGTTGTTCAGGTTAAATATAAAACACCCTCATTAATCTGTCCAAACCCCTACCTGAGCCTCGGGGGTGCCTGTGTTTTGTGTCATCCTTGTCTCCAGTTGTGCTGGGATGTGGCAGCTGTTCTGCAGACCCAGCGCTGCTGCATCCTCTTCCCCATTTTCCAGCAAATATATCTGTAGCACGAAGCATTGCACACTCCAAGAGCTTCTCTTGGCACAGACAGTCTGCTGCTCCTTCACAAAAACCAGGCTTGGGATGAAAAACTAGAGGGTTTTGCCAGGAATCAGTGAGACTCGGCTCTGGAAACAAACAGAGCTAATTGTGTTCAGCTGCCCCGGGCAGGGAGTTCCCTCTCCACTCGCTGGGTCTCAGGGATCACAGCGGATCAATCCTGAGCCTTAAGGGGAAGGAATTTCCCAGACTGTTCTGTGAGCATTGACCAAAACAACGAAGTTTATCAGCAGTCCCAGGCTAAACACCCCGTGTTGTGAGTGCGGCACCAGCGCAGGATTCAGTTTCTCCATGAGCTTTGGGAAGAAAACCAGGTCTGACTTCCCAAGCTGAGGTCAGGCTGGATGAGGCCTGGATGCTGTTCTGGACTTTTTGAGCACTGTAAAAGCCAACATTTTGGTGCTCTGCTGTTTCTGCACCCTCGAGCTGGGGCGTGGCAGGGCATGGAGTGAGGGAGCAATTCCAGATGCCTCTGTCCTGTCTTTGGGGTTGGTTATTTCTGTCAAGACTGAGCGAATCTTTCTTAATGCGATAGACATTTTATTACGTGTTTTTATTGAAGCTGAACTGTTAGTTTAATTAAAATTTCTGAACAAAGTCCAGTGGAAGTGTTTCCCCATCATCCATCCCTAACTTCAGAAACATTTAGTTCCAGAGCTGGAACTTTCCAGGCAAGGCCAGACACAAATTTGAATGGATTTTTTTCTTGTTTGTTTAACTACAAGGACAAGGGTTTAGCTGGTTTTTAGTGAAGAGAGTGGGAAGCACAGTAGGAAACTGCTCTGAAACTCTTGTTTGAAACAACCAGAGGCCCTATTTTGAGAAAAAGGCTTTTTAGAGCTTGGTGAGCCAAATTTAGACCTAACAGGAGCTTTTCTGCTGATCTAAATTAATGTCTTAGTGTGAACCAATTGGGCTTCTGCCACATCACAATTTTCTGGATGAGGAGTTTGTAGGTTTTTTTCCCACAGCTGAGCCCATTAAACTGTTCTTGCAGAGAGACCCAGAGCTGCTGCTCAGTCTGGCCTGGCTCAGCTTGGAGAATGATCCATGGAATGATGTGTCTTAGGCTGGTTTTGTACCCATTTTGTTTCCTGAGCCAGTTTTTCTTGGGCTGAGGTGAGCACACAGCTGATTTGAGGAGGGGAAGCTCAGATTGAGACATACTTTTCATGGATGTAATGTTTATCTTGTACATACAGAGGGTATACATGGTTTGTGTGATTAAAAACCCAGAGAAAATGTGTGCCTGTACAGTTCTGCCTTATCTCCTGCACATGCTGCCCTGTGCACCTTCAAATCCAACCTGGAGGAGTGTACAGGACCCAGAACTCACCTCTCCGGGGAGCAGCCCTGTGTCCTTGATGTTTCTGGCACAAAAATCCTGGAATATGGGACCTGCTGGGTGCCCCTCGAGGGAGTGTTTTCATTTTTCTCCACAATGTGCTGATGATGTTTTTCTACTCTAGCCCCGCATGGACCAGTATTTTAATCAGATGGAGAAGATTGTGAAAGAAAGGAAAACCTCCTCAAGGATTCGGTTCATGCTTCAGGATGTAATAGACCTAAGGCTGGTAGGTCCTAGCTCCAATGAGTTAAAGCATGAAATCATGGAAGGCTAGACTGGTCTGGGTTGGAAAGAACCTTAAGGATCATCCCGTTCCATGGCCATGGACAGGGCCAGCTTCCACTGTCCTAGGGTGCTCCAAGCCCCTTCCAGCTTGGATTTGGATACTGCCAGGGATCCAGGGGCAGCCAAAGCTGCTCTGGACACCCTGTGCCAGGGCCTCCAATCCTTACAGTAAAGAATTTCTTCCCAATATCCCATCTGACCCTGCCCTCTGGCAGTGGGAAGCCATTCCCCCTTGTCCCAGCTCCCTCTCCTGCTCTCCTGGAGCCCCTTTAGGCCCTGGAAGGGGCTCTAAGGTGTCCCTGAGTCCTTCTCTAGGTGAAGACACCTAGCTCTCATGCCAGTCTGTCATGTTCCCTTCCATATCCAGGCTGGATAAGCTCTCGTGCAAGAGCAGGGATTCACGGCTTAAGTGTTGTTAGGGGGGGATCTGTTCCCCTTCTCCCCAAAGTGTGGCTGTTCAAAGCCAGGAAATGTCTGCACATTGTCCTGGTGCTGTGGTCAGTACACATGTGCTGCAGGGGGTTCGTCACTGTGCAGGTGAAGACGTGACCATGGGTGGAACAAACCTTCCCAGCACATGTAATTCCCTCCCCAGGGGAACTGGTTTGGGTTGTGTGGAGGCTGAAGTCACCATTTTGGCTGCAGGTAGATAATTACCCCGAGAGCTGTAATGAGGCTGCAGCAAGATAAGGGACAGTGTTGTCATTCCAAGGCTGGAAAGGTCTGAGCACTGCATGGCTGAAAAGACACATCAAGTGAGGAAAGTGGTTTTGGAGTGACAGTTCCTCTCTGCAGGATTCCTGTGTCAGCCATCACCATTCCTGGAGTGCAAAGCACTGTCTCCACTTAAAGTCAGTCACTTCTTGCTTTATTTTTATTTTCAAGGTTTAATTTTTTCCCTCAAGCTTGGAGAAAAGGCTCCCACCAAGAGCATCAGTCATAAACAGAGTGACAACAGCTTTTCTCTTTCCTATGAACTTTGAAAGAGAGCCTGGGAATGTGCAGGCTGGGGGTTAATGTGTCCTGAATTCAGTGAGGTCTTCGCTGCAGTCTCTGTACTTGAGTACAAGGCTCTGCTCTCTGGTGCTGGGATAACCATGTCCATAATGTGTCCCAGCTCCACAGGATTTTCTTCAGCCCCTCTAAGGCATGACAAGGGTGGGAGGATGAGGCCTTGTTCAAATTCCCTGTGTTTGATGCTCCCCTGGAAGTTTCCCTGAGCATGTGGGGTTTTTTTTTGCTTCTTCCCCAGTGCAACTGGGTGTCACGGAGAGCAGACCAGGGCCCCAAGACCATCGAGCAGATCCATAAGGAAGCCAAGATTGAAGAGCAGGAGGAACAGAGGAAGGTGCAACAACTCATGACCAAAGACAAGAGGAGACCGGGTAAAGTAAAAACCAAGTTGGCTGCTCTTGTTACTCATTTCACATCCAGTGGCCTTAGAAGGAATCCCACATAAAAGGAAAAAATCTGTGGGGCTTTTTTCCTAAGTGTAACGAGCAAAGGGCATTGGGGCCTGATATGGCAGAGGCTGGAAAACGGACAGATCTGCCATGGATTGACTCTGGGGATTTCCAGGGGCAAATCTCATGGGTGAAGATAATCAACCACAGGCCAACAGTGCTTAAGCTTTCCACTCATGCAAACCATGTTTGATTTTGTGACAGGCTGCCAGAAATCTGTTCTAACAAGTTATTACTTAGGAGTCAGACTTGCCATCCATTCTCATACACTGCAGAGTCTCATTTCAAGAGAAAAATATCTCATTTCAGGAGTAACCGTGTTGTCTTTAGTTGTTAAAGTTATGAGGTGCTGACTCTGTGTGAGGGAGTGTCTTGGCGTCACCTTAAACTCCTCCTGGCCCTCAGGGCACTACCTGAAGATGAATTTGCAGTGACTGGGAAAATGAAGATTGGGACAGAGCAGGGCAAGGAGAAAGTAATTTTGGGATTCTTTAATACTAAGGATTGTCAAATGAAAGTGCTTTGAAAACAGAGTGTAAAGAAAATACATGTAGACTTTAATTGTCCTAAAAGTGACAAGTGACTTTCCTAAAAGTGAAAAGGAGAAGGTGAGGAACCTGGGAGTGCCTGAGGGGTTCTGTGTCAGACCAGCCAAGGGCTGCAGGAATTGTGGGGTGAGTGAGATTCTAGTCAGGGAAGGCATCTCACCTGCTCCTTCCCTGAGCTCGTGAATGTGCAGCACCCACGGGAATGAAGAGAAATCCAGCCTGGAACCATCCCTTCCAAAAGCAGGCCTTGAAAGGAGTGAGAGCTGTTATGTCCAGGCTGTTCTGTGAGAGCACAGGCAGCAGGCTGGTTATATCATGTCAGTGTGAAGGATGTTCCTGAGCAGGACCCTGCCAGTCAGAGCAGCAGGATGAGTTGAGGGTGGCTGTGTTTGTCATCCTCAGGTGTCCCACGGGTCGACGAAGGTGGCTGGAACACTGTGCAGGGGGCAAAGAACAGCAGAGTGCTGGACCCCACCAAGTTCCTTAAAATCACCAAGGTAGGTGCCAGCACAAGCCTCCTTCAGGGCAATAAAACATCTGTTAGTCCAGGAAGGACTGGGATGGTGTGTACAAGTCAAAACTTGGTGTTGGGACATTTTAAATCCTCAGAGTTAATACTGTGTGTAAATCAAGCTTCGTTATCTTCTGGATGTTCCTGTTTTGTCCTGAGGGAAAGTGTGCAGACTTTCTTTCTCAGGTTCACAGTGTCCTTTTAGTAATCCAGAAGCTCTCATAGTCAGAAAATCTGCATTTTATTCAGTGATGAAAAAGTGAGCCAGAATATTGTGTGACATGGAGATGCATGTTCCATGGGTCTCAAACACATCACCTGGGGGTCTCAAACACCTGCTGGAAGTACTGGGCTGCCTCAAGTTCTTGAGACTCTATTCTGATGCTGCTCTTCAATAAAACAGGGAGGCCACATCCACTTTGATGGGTCACAAACAGCAGCACTCCAGACTTAGGAGGCTCCAGTAGAATGGAAAGAGCTGTGTCTGCTTTTAGAGGTTTCTCAACATGGTGACATGGTTGCATCCCCCAGTATGTGATAAATTCTCATGTTCATCCTCCAGATGAGCATCTTCCTGTTATTTCACCATTGGACTGGTAGATTTGGGACAGTTTTCCAGGCTTCAGGTTGGGCAAGTTGGAGATTTCTCCTTTGTATCAGAACAGCTCTGGGTTTTCTTGCCAAGGAGAAGTCTGGCCTTTGCATAAATCATTGACTTCTAAATATTCCCTTGTCCCACTTAATGTCACTCACCCTGAATTCTTACACTCAGTGCCTGGATTCTTGGAGAGCTGTAAAGCAGGACCTGGACAGACTGCAGCCCTTCTGCAGATCCAATCAATTTGTTCCTTCTGAAAGTCATAAAACAGTCTCCAAAACTTCATTAGCAGGAGAGGTTCAGTCTCCTCCTGCCAGGGCTTACAGCTCATCTGGGAAAAGCCCTTCTCCTTTGCTCCATGCAAATGGAGCTGGTTCCGCAGCAGCTGCTTTGGAAGGAGAGAGAAGCTCCCCTGAGATCTGCGAGGTCACAACCTCCTTGTCAATAAATTCTCTACTGAGCATTGTAAAATCAATGTTCTCTTCTTGCCAGACACAACTTCTTCCCTCCAAGTTCTGGACCTGTTGTCATCCTAGGCTCTTTGGATTGTTTGGTGTCCTGCAGGTCCTCCCAGCCATGACTGGAGAGTTGATGGACAGTGAAACTGGTTTACACATCACAAACAAACATCTTTCAAATATGGATATACTGAGCTTTTCCACCTTCCTGAGTTTCAGAATTCCCAATAAAAAGAAGCTCCTTCTCACTGCGAATGTCTCTCACTGCCGTTAGGAAGAGGCTCTTTGTGATGCCCTTTGTTGTTTATGTCCTCTTTCTTGGGCCACAGTTTGTTCTTCCAAAAATATGTAAAGTGTATTTTGGAGTTCACAAGACTGGGATTATTGCCAGATTATCTCACATTTATTATTAAACTGTACGATTTGTACTTGTAATTGTATGTCCTGGCATGTTTTACAGCCCACAATAGATGAGAAGATTCAGCTCGTGCCTAAAGCCCAGTTGGGCAGCTGGGGGAAAGGCAGCAGTGGTGGAGCCAAGGCAAGCGAGATGGGTAAGTCAGGATGGGCCCTGACCCTTGGCTTTGCTGCCAAAGAGCAGGTTTGGGTGGGGTTCATAGAATCATGGAATATCCTCAGCTGGAAGGGACACACAGGGATCAGTGTCCTACCCCTGTCCCTGCACAGACACCCGAGCAATCCCACCCTGTCCAAAGGCTCCTGGAGCTCTGGCAGCCTCGGGCCATGCCCATTTCCTGGGGAGCTTGGGCAGTGCCAGCACCCTCTGGGGAAGAGCTTTTCCTGATCTGCAGCCTAAACCTGACACAGCTCCAGCCTTTCTCTCAGTCCTGTCCCTGCTCACAGATCAGAAGTCAGAGCTGCCCCTTGAGAGGAACTGCAGCCCCCAGTGAAGGCTCTGCTCAGCCTCCTCTCCTTCCCCTGTATGTGACCTCCTGACAAGAAGGGTTAAAGTGGGGCAGGACTATCCTTTTCTTGCACTTCTGTCCCCGTGGCTCTGAAACAGCACTGGCTGAACTGCTCAGTGATGCTGAGGTATCAGCAATCCTGACCTTGTTGCTCTGCTCTGTGTTGTCTCCATGATCTCCAGACTCCTTGCGACCAAGTGCCACAAGTCTGAACAGATTTTCTGCCCTGCAGCCTCCAGTCTCCCCAGTATCTGCCTCATCTGCATCTTCAGAACTAGAATCTCGCAGGGCCTTAACGAGGTGAGTATTGCTCCATCGCTCTTCACTGCTGCACTTTGCACCCGCTCCTCTGGGCACCAGCACTCAGAAAGAAGAGAATTCCTTGCTTTTCCAGGAATGGCTGGGTCCTTTTTCCCCCTCTGAGTTAGCTTCAAACACACCTGTATTTTATAATATCACAGGAGAGATGTGGAATTAATTTTTAAAACCATTTTGATGAATGTTTTCATTTCCACTTCACCCTTCAGCCAAGGTGAGTTGTATTTAACAGAATAAAAACTCTTCAGATAAAATGTGGTAATAAATAGGTTGGATTTAATGGCTGTGAATTCAGCCGGGTCAGTAGGTTTATTTATCCAGGAGAACACACCTAAAACCTGACAGAAATGCAGCATAAAACCATGTCCGACCCTTCCCAGCAGGTGTGACCTGCCTGTGCTCCTGCATCAAACAAAAACTGGAGAGCCTCTCTCTCACTCCAATTCCTTCGGGGCTGCAACCACTCCAGCTTGAAGCATGAAACATGTATTAACCCTCAATAATTTATTAACTCTAGACACGGTTTATAAATGTATAGTTCATTTAAAATGTCACTTGATCTTCCTTCTAGTGCACACAAGCTGCTGAAGTGTTTTCCTGGGTTGTGCCTCTAATGTTTTCCCTCCAATTTCAAGCAAAACTTAGACTTACCTGGAAATTATTCCATTTTGGCATAATTTTGCCCACCTTACTCATTAACTCAGTAATTAATAGGACATATCATTGTCACCTGCGGTTGGGAGCCTTCACTGTTTGGGAAGTATTTTTCAATGAATGGGTAAAAAATACAACTCTCATGGAATCACAGAATGTTTTGGGTTGGAGAGAGTTGAAATATCACTGATTCCCACCTCCTGCCATGGGCAGGCACACCTTTCACTATCCCAGGTTGCTCCAAGCCCCATCCAACCTGGCCTTGAACACTGCCAGGAATGGGGCAGCCACAGCTGCTCTGGGCACCCTGTGCCAGGGGCCTCACACCTCCTCACAGGGAGGAATTTCTTTGTTACATCTAATCTAAAGCTCTCACACCATTTCAAATTGGAACAGAGTCCTTGTGTTATAAAATTCATTATTCCATGTATAAAATGGGTGCTGTAGAGCATTGCTTTTCCATATGTTCTCTAGAAAGCATTAGCTATGCCTGTCCACTCTGGGTATTTATGTTTGTGCATCCCTGAAATTGAATTAATTTTCGTTGTAGGTACAGCTGTAAGAAACGGAATCAACAATCCTATGGGGCTTGGGGGGTGTTTTTTTCCTGCAGTGAAGCCCTCGAGTACCTTTTCTAACCTCTGAGCGTGTTCTTGTTTGGCAGTCGTGGGAGCACAGGCAGGGAGAAGAATGACAAACCTCTGACACCTTCCCTGTCCCGGCCCAACACCTTCCTCCGGGGCAGCAGCAGCAAGGAGCTATTGCTGGACAACCAGGCCCAGGAGGAGCAGCGCAGGGAGATGCTGGAGACGGTGAAGCAGCTGACAGGAGGCATGGAGATGGACAGGAACAGCACCGAGGCCGAGAGGAACAAAGCCAAGGAGTCTGGTAATGGCTTTTCTGTGCTCGGGGAGTGTTGCTGAATGCGTGGAAGGGCACAAGGGAGAATCTGTCAGGGGCAGTGACAGGTGTCTGTGCAGGGCACTGTCAGGCTGCTGCAGCTGCGATGCACTTCCCAGAGCTGGGTGACACAGCTGAGTCAGGCAGGCCTGGGCTTATCCTTCTCACAGGCTCCTCCGTAGGATCCAGTGGAGTTGAAAGGCTGCAGGTGCCAGCACAACCCCATGGCATTGTCTTCTTATTCTGTCACTGTCCCACTGGCTTCTGGGCACAAAGTCCCCCAGATCAGTGTAAGTTCTTCAGTTTTCCAGTGCTCAGTAAAGCCATATCTACCCTTTTCTAGCATTCCCCAGGGCCAGGGCAGGGATTTAGGTCTGGGACAGATGGTGTACAGCAGCTTTTTAGCACCGTGTTGTTGCCAGCCCTCCTTCTGAGCCGGCCCTGGTGCAGAGGATGGTGGCACCCACTAGGGTGACTCATCTGTCACCTTGTCAGTCCTGCAGCTCCTGCTTTTCCCTCTTGCCAGCCTTGGCTGATCTCTTAGTGGGAAAATGGGGATACAGGGTGATGTTCCCAGTGGACAGAACCTTTATAGCAAGGACAGCGTTCAGCTCCTTCCCGGGAAACATCTGGAAACTGCTGCAGCGAGGGAAACACCTCAACTGCCACAGCACAGCACAGGCTTATCCTGAAGCTTCGGGATCTTGTAGACAATCCATGGGGACCAGGGTTTTGGGATGTGACTGGGAGATTGCCTTGGGCTGCTGCCCATCACAGTCAGCGTAGTTTAACTTTGCTGCAACAGCTCCCATTTTATTATTTAATGTTGGTGCAGAGCTTTGAAGGTGTTCGACCTGTGCCACTGCCAGCTGTGATCCTGCAAGGTCAAGTTACAGAAATACTGTGAGTTCGTATGGGGGAAAAATAGCCAGGAAAGGATCACAGAGTCCCAGAATTGTTTGAGTTGTAAGGAACGTTAAAGCTTGTCCAGTTCCAACCCCCTGCTGTGGGTAGGCACCTATCCCAGGTTGCCCCAAGCCCCACCAAAGAACTACCGTGTGCCTGAGGATGGGACTGGGAACACACCTGCCCTAGTGACTTTTGTTTTCAGAATGTCATCTCTAAAATGCTGATTTTCCTTTTCCAAATATTCTTTGTTGTATTTCCACCAGCCAAGCCAGAAGCTCCCCCAGCTCCTGTGCAAGAAAAGTCTTCACTATCAGAAGAAGAAATAGAGAGAAAATGCAAATCTATAATTGATGAGTTCTTGCATATTAATGATTTTAAGGTAAGCAAGATGAAAACCTCACTTAACAGAAAGCTCTGAAGGGCTGCAGTGATTTCTCTCCAGGATGTGTCTCTGTGAGCACCCAGCCCACACTGGGGCAGTGGAAGTGGCGGTGCCAGGCAGAGCCAGGCAGCAGCAGCAGCTCCATGAGCACTCTCAGGACAGTTGTCTCCCAAGCTTGTTTTCTGCCTTGCTGATAATAGGAAAAATAGCCCAGCCTGTGTTTTTTAAGTACCAAGATGGATGTGTATCTGTCGTGAATCACTGAGCAGCGACATAATACCAGCAATTTTGGAAGCAAAAAAGCTAGTGGGAAAATAAAGAGAGGTTTCATTTAGTTACCAAAGCATGTGCTGTTCTGATCTAGAGGCAGATAAAGCAATACTAAATATTGAACTAACCACTCCAGAGGATTTTTGATAAACATTGGAAATTACTGAGCAGCTGTCATCACTTCCTAGTTAAAAGGTTGAAATTTTGTTTCCCTTGTAAATGGGTTTTTTAGCTCGTCCAGGGAGTTTGCAAGAAGTGTTACATTAGCTGCAAAGCTGCTTCATTTGATCTTTCACTGAAATAAATTTTAAAACCTGCCAAGTTTGAAATGGCAGCACTTGGGAGTTGCTAGTTTGGCACCCTAAAAAGCAGAGTTGCTGCTTCCATTTCATTGGACTTCCAATTAATAATTGGAAAGAAGAATATTCTCATGGTGGATTGTTTAGGGTTCACATCTAGTTATTGGGATAAATTATTAAATACTTGGTTTGGAGAGGAAAAACCTTGCTCTGATTGGCAGTGAGCTGGCCTGGGATCCAGGGGCTGGTGAGCCAAGGAGTCTCTGCTCTTTTTCCTGTTTATGATGGACTCCAAAGGCTCCCTCTGGATGCCTGTGGTAAAGGGGCCACGTCAGTTCCCTGTTTGCAAATACAGCGATGTATTTCTGTGGCTGTCTGGAAATGGACCTGAATTGCATTAGACAGGGCAGGGCTGGTTAAAAGTCCATGGAATTGAGGCAGCTTGTTTGCATCAGCCATCACTTGGTGATGGGGGATTCTTGGTGCTCTTCTTCAGGTGCACCAAAGCTCTGACCAACTGCTTGAAATGGTGTTCCTGCAGCCACCCGTGAGTGAGTTCCTGCTGTGTAGAGCAGAGGAACGGCTCTTTGCAGGTCTTTGGTCCCCAGTCTGACCTGACCATGAGCTCAAACTGCTGAGCTGTGACCCTGGTGACAGCCTGGGACCACCGGGCTCCTGACCTGCAGGAAAAAGCCACACAGGGCCTGAGGAAACACATCTGGGGCTGCCAGGTCTTGGTAACTCAAGGCATAACTAGTCACGGAGCAGGTGCCTGTGGTCAGGAATGCCACTGAGATCTGTGGGCTGGACCCAGAAGGTCACTGGAAGGCCCTTGTGATGGCAATGGAGATTTTTGATGTGGGACTTTGAGAGCTCCTCTCAAAGTCTCTGAGTGTTTTCTTTGTTTAGGTTGCAAAATACTTAAGTCAGAAAGTGGGAGCTTTAGAAAGGGGAAATCTTCCTCCAAGTGCTCCCCAGCTATTTTCTGCTGCTTGATGGGCTGTGGGTTTGTAACACAGGCACTTGTACCAGGTCAAATCAGTAACAAATCTGACCTGATACCTTTTTGACTTGGCTTGACGTTTGATGCAGTAATAGGTGTTTTGGTGAAAAGAAAACAACTCCTGCCATTTCACCAATCAGCCCTGGGATGTGGTTATGTATTTTAAAAAATTCCTACCTGAGTGGTATAAATTCCATTATTGCTATTACTGTTGTTTTTGTTATTATTATGTGATGAGGTTCCACAGCCTAATTCAGCACTTTGCCTGGCAGCCTCACTAAATACCCATTTCACCAAAAATCCCCAATGTTACAGTAGGAAATACTCCTGTGCCATGTTTTTGCTGCTTTTCAGCTGAGGGCTGACTGATGTATGTTGTTCCACAGGAGGCCATGCAGTGCGTGGAGGAGCTGAGTGCCCAGAACCTGCTGCCCGTGTTCGTGCGTGTGGGCGTGGAATCCACGCTGGAGCGGAGTCAGATCACCAGGGATCACATGGGCCAGTTGTTACATCAGCTGGTGCAGTCGGGAAAGCTGAGCAAGCAGGATTTCTTCAAGGGGTTGGTATTCTGCACAGAGAATCCACAGATTCTTTTTCTCAATGTTTCTTGCAAATGGATGCTGTGCTGCAGAGAAATGCTCTCCCACCTTGTTTTGGTATCCTGCCCTCTACACACGTTCTTTTGGAAGGACTGTATCATCTGCATGTATTTATAAGGAATATTATTATTGCATTATATGCTAAAGTGTTTCAGATGCTTTAGTGAATGTAAGTATGTTCATATTTATATCAGCTTTTATTTTGAAGCAGATCTGTAGGTGTCTGTTTAAATGTGTGTGTGTTCAGATCCCTGTTCTGTGCTGCATTTCTCCCTGTTTGCCTTTTGCAAATCTGGGAATGTAATTGAAAGAGGAGGGAGTCAGAATCCTTCATACAACATCATTACCTGGGAGCTCCGTAGTCTGAGCTCCCATGCACCCACAGAGCCTCAGACATTCTCCCACTGGGAAAAAGGCTTCACCCACACAATGCCATTTCTCAGGACACCTCAGCTAGAGCAACTGAATCCTCGAGGGGCTGAGGAGGAGAACATGCAGCAGATGGATTGGACCTGCCTCGAGAGAACTGAGTTTTGGCTGCTGGCTCATTTCAGCTCCCTGAGTTTTGTGTTCCCAGCCTGGGGTCCAGTCCTAAAACAATCCCTGTTCCCATGGAAGTCCCTGGCGGCACTCACTCCTTGCTGGGGTGCAGAGCAGGGGGGATAAAACAGGGATAGCCACAAATGCAGCAGGGAAGGAGCAGATGAAGTAACTCTTCAGCACTGAGTTTCTAGAAGTTGGCTCTGTCTGGCTTTAATTTGAATCCCTGTCATTGTCGTACCACTGACTGCTCCAGCAGGGAACGCCCTGCACTCCTGCCTGTCCCTGAACTTCATCCAGCTCACAGGAAAGGTTTAGGCAGCCTGAGCTCAAAACGATATGGAACAGCTGAAAAAATCTATATCCACAGGGAATACACTTGTATCCACACAGCACTGATGGCCAGAGGGACTCATTTGAGGTGATACATATCCAAAATGTATTGTGATTAAAGCTGTTCTTGAGTTTCCTGGAGTTTGGAAAAGTGGATCTTGATGAAATATTGAGATCTGTGCTCTGAATGTGATATAAACAATGTGAAACAACTCCTGAAGATGATGGAAAGGGCAAGTGGTGTTCAGTGGGTGCTGAGGAGAACACTAGAAACCACCTCACTTACTGACGCAGGAGAAATGACCGTGTGATGGAGGCATCACAGGACAAACACTGGTCCCAGCCCATGTCTGAGAAGATGCACAACAGGAAAACGATTTCTGGCAGAAAGGCTGGAGGAGGAACAGAGGATGCAAAGAACAGAGCAAAGGAGGTGGTTTCTGGTTTGAAACGTGAGAGAAAACATGGATTTATAGCCACTAAACAGGACACTGGACTTTTCAAGGTTTTCGAGGAGAAACGAACCTTGACAGAAACTGTCAGGAGAGCAGAAAAATTACCATCTCCCAGGCATGGGAAGTGAGGTCACCTGAAAGGGTTTCATGGGAAAGAAGAGTTTTGAGCCATTCTGGAAAGTGTATCACTGGGGAGCAATCCTGTGATTCTGGCTGCAGATGGAAACTCTCCTCTGCTGAACTCTGAGCTCTTATTTACAGACATTTCACTGCTTACCTTACATTTGGAATTCTGTTAGGATTAACCCCCTTCTCTGAATGTTTGGATATTTTTAAGAAAGTTTCGTTTACTTGATGGTTTATATATATAACCAAAAATGCTTTTTAGTTTTATAGTTGTTATTCTTTAGCAAATTATTTGGTACTGGGATATAAGAATTATTATAACTGGAGGTTTCCTGGATGTATCTGTTGGATCTACAAAACGTGGTGTCTTTCCACATATTCTCCATGTTACTGCATGGAGAAATTCAGTCTTGGCAGTTTGGAAGTACCAAAAGCGTAAAATGGCAATAGGTTTTTTGTTAGCTTTGTGATTCTCCTCACTCCTCTCCCTCTTCACTCCTTTTTTATGACACAAAACATTTTTAAAGTGCAGATTTCTTTGAAGGAAATGTCTCCAATTAAATTTTATTTAATACTTGATGTTTTTTCCTCCTCTGAAGTTTTTCTGAGACCCTGGAGATGGCAGATGACATGGCCATAGATATACCCCATATCTGGTTGTACCTGGCTGAGTTGGTGACCCCCGTGTTAAAAGAAGGAGGAATCTCTATGAGAGAACTTATACAGTAAGTGATGCTTTCCCAGCTGTGCCTGTAGTGTCTGCTCAGCATGGTTCCCATCAGGAGGTGAAGGATGAGCAGTGCTGGAGGCTCAGCTCCCCACAGGAGCTGATGGAAAGTTTGTTACACCAGCCTGAGAGCTCTGCTGGGAAGGGAGCTTAGTGCTTTCACCCTTGGAGAAGGGTTTTATCCATAAGTCTTCTGTTTGTTTCAACTGAGCTTAAAAATACCCATCAGTGCTGTAGAATGGGGTCATTTGGGAGCACAGAGGCTCTGCGAATTAATTAGATTTGCAGAGAGTGAGGTATCTCAGAGGGGCAACTGAAGGAGGGTTGGGTTAGGTGGGATACTTAGAACAAATTCCCCCTGTGAGGGTGGGGAGGTCCTGGCATAGTTTGCCCAGAGAAGCTGTGGCTGCTGCATCCCTGGAGGTGTCCAAGGCCAGATTGGACGGGGCTTGGAGCAACCTGGGATAGTGGAAGGTGTCCCTGCCCAAACTATGGGATTCCATGTTTCTACCACCTGGGCACTGCCTTCAACAGGCACAAAACCTTGTCTGCAAGACCAGAAACCATTTCCTGGACCAGAATTCCTATATTTTCTGTATGTCCTTACATATTTGGAGATTAACTGTGAACGGTTTCTATTTCTATTACCAGTATATTAAGAAAGTAACAGTATTTTCCCTCTACCCAAATACAGCATCCCACAAAAATGAGTGGACGTTAAATATAATATATTTTTAGATGTAAATTTAAGTCTTTGTAATTAGCCCAGTTGTGACAAGGTCACTGCATCACTAAATGTTTTATCAGCAGTGCTGGTTTAATCAAATCCTTCCTCCCTGGCAGAAGTTAAAGGTGATTTCCTGCCTCAGTTTGATCACTACCCCTGGATTTGCATTCCAAATATGAATTATAAAGGAAAAACACCTGTTTTTCTTTCATTCTAGAGAATTTAGCAAACCCTTGCTTCCTGTGGGAAGAGCCGGCGTTTTGCTTGCTGAAATCTTGCACCTTCTATGCAAACAAATGGTGAGTGCCCGGTGCTCCCGTCCTCCGGAAGGAGGAGTGGATGCAGCGCTCGTGTTCATGCATGAAACCTACACCATTCCCACGTGAGGACATTTAGGGATGGGCCAGCCAGTCCAGATAACTTAGGAAACCTGCTTCGCATCCCCAGATTCCAAACAAGCCTTACGAGGTTCCAAAAAGTTGAGTTAACTTTTTGTTTTCTCATCACTTTTCCCTTTTGCAGGTACCTTTGCACCTGGCTTCTCCCAGAAGCTAAGAGTGCTGAAATACTGCAAGAGGGACATGCTCAAGGGATTTCTGGGCTGACCAGAAGCAGCAAGTGCCGGGAATCTTGCGAGAGAACTGTTCTTGCAGACCGGAGAGGTTCTCAGGGTTCGGATAAGCTTCCGATGGCCTCAGACTGCTGTGTGCTTATCCAAACTAAACCTGCCGACTCTTGAGGTTCACCCAGCACTGGGGTAGTGACACCTCTTCACCCCGTGACTCCGAGAGCTCTCTTTCACACCTCACAGCTGCGTGTCCAACCAGTTTGGCGGTTTCCCTATAATTCGTCTTTATTTTTGTCTTTTTTTTTTTGATCCAGCTAAATCCTGCACTTTGGATAGTGTCTAATTCCAACCCTATAAAATCCCTCACTTGCCTTTTTTTTTTATTTTTTCAAGCATGCATTCAAGTAAGGTTGAATGTTTCAGGAGCATTTCAGTCCAACAGTGCAAAGAGTGACTTTTCATTTATTTATTTTAGTCTTGTGCTTGTTTGGACAGTCAACTTCCATTTTTTTTTAAACTATTCTGTGAAAGAAAAGCTGCTGTGCTCTGGGTGTGGAAGCACAGCCTTGGGTCTCTGTTTCTGCCACAGCTTTCTGATTAGATCTTGTCCAGGCCAAGACTTGGACTTGGGTATTTCAGTGTAACATCAGCCATCTAATCCAGATCTTGATGGGTCAGAGCAGGAACTATGCAGTTGGCTCTTAACAACCTGCATTTTAAACTGAAAATTGTTATCTGCTTTGTAAACTTAAAATCAGGTTGCATTTCTCAGCTTGGCTTAGGCTACTCAGTGATCTCCTGTGAGCAGGTGCTGTAAGCTGAAACTTTGGCAAAGCATTTGGGTGAAAAGAGCTGGTTGTGCTTAGCATTTTTATTCTTGTCAGAACTGTGCTCTCTGAGGAAGGAGGCTCAAAGGTCAGTGTGACATTAGAGGCTGCAAAAGGCTGAACTGTCTGTGCTCAGAGGCACTGCTCTCAAGGTTTGCATCAGCTCTAGGAACTGAGAGAATTTGGGATTACATGCCTGAATTTGAGGTTTGGTCTCTGTGCAGAAAACAGCCATGTAAATGAGGAATTTTCTCAAAGGAGCAATTTGCCAGAGCCTTACTGTCAAGGCGCAAGGGAGTGTGAGTCACGGAGTAAGTCAGGAGAAGGATCTGAGTCACCCATGGCAGCTCTGTGTCAGGCCGTGGGAAAGGGCTCTGTTCCACGTGTCACTGCTCCTGGGGAACCTCGGAGGTCGTTGCGATCCCCCCGTGTCACTTCTGTCTTGCCCATTCCCTGTCACGAGGCGCTGCCCACCTGACAAGATGTGCATACCCGGGGGGATTGCACACGTGGTGTCTCTTGCACGGGGTCTCCAAATGTTCTCACTCATTGCCGGGCGTTTGTTGGGTGGCTGAACTGTCCTTTATTCCTCCTGACACAGCTGCACCATTCCGGCCCCTGTGAGCTCCCGGGTGTCCCTCAGCTCTTTAAATGGACAAACTGCTTGTGTTTCAGAGCCATAAGAAAGTGGGAGCCTTATGGAGGGAGTCTGGCCTCAGTTGGAAGGACTACTTGCCCGAAGGGGAGGATGTACATACCTTTCTCATGGAACAAGTGAGTTCAGATCATTTCCCATTCCTATGTGCAGTTGGAATATGCGGTGAAGTGTCTCCAAGTTGGGGTAGATGATTTCAGCACCCTGCTGCTCTCAGACACACATCTCCAGTCGCCTGGCTTCCTCTAGGAGACCTCTTTCTCCAGCTGGGAAAAAAACATTCAGTAATGAGTTTTGGAGCAAGGACAGACAATCGGCAGAAGGGCCACAATTAATGGTAGCAGTTATTCACTCATCCCACCTTGGATTATGATCCTGGAGGGAGCCAGGACTGATGGAGGCACCTCAGCTCTTGCTGGTGCTGCTCCTCAGGAAGTCATTGTCTCCCTTTGGAGCTTTGAGTGATCCCTTGCCCTGTTCTGGCACTTTGGAAGTGCTGCAGGAAATGAAATTACTACCATGGCCTTGGCCTTGCTGAGGGGATTGCAGCTCTTCTGTCACAGTTTTCAAGGAGTTGGGGCATTGGCTGCAATTTCTTCAAGCCAATGCCAGCTCTGGTTGTTGCATTCCAGCCCCTGTAGCTCCAGCCGGGCAACACACACTTGATTTTGTGCTCTGCTGTGCAGGGCTGGAGCTGCCTGAGGTGACTCATTGTCTTTGCTGGATAATGGAGTTCCCATGTGTCTGTAAAATGCTTCCTAACCTTTGGAACAAGGAAGGTTTATATTGTAACGATAACTGAGCAGCTGAAAGATGCCAGAAAGCAGAATTAAATGTAGTTTCCTGCTTCGATCTGGTGTAATTCAGCCTAGGAAAGTACATTTCAGTAATTCTCATCATCATCATGTGGTGTTGCAGAAGTTGGAGTTCACGGAGTCTGACTGTTCCAGTTCCTCAGAAGCACTTTCAGAGAAAGAACTCTCTGCGGAAGAGCTGAATAAGCAGCTGGAAAAACTCATTGTTGAGGACAAGGCGAATGATGAACAAATCTTTGATTGGGTAGAGGTACAAAGAGATTTTCACCCTCTCTGCAGACTGTTTAACTGCTTTTGTAAATATGCTCTGGTCTGAACATCTCGGGGTACGGGTTGCTGCGAGGATTTGGTCTGCGCAATCAACACTTCCAAAGAATTAAAATCTAAAATATAATCAGTATTTAAGAGTCAGCTTCAGGAAAGAAGACTTTTAGATGTATTAACTGTGTAACCTTTTAAATACTGTAGAAATTCTAATACTGAACATCCTGCTTCTGCCACTTAGTATATTTTAGATGTACACTGCTACATTGTTTCTTCAGAAAATTTGGAAGAGAAGCTTCTCACTACTTTTTTCCAACATGACCGTTCCAAATTTCCCCCTGTAAAAATAGCCTGAACAGTCACTGAGAGCACCTTTTCCCAGTGCACTGGGCCAGGCACTGGAAGAGGAAAATAAAGGAAAAAAAAGAGGAAGAAACCTGTCAACCCACTGGTCTTTGCTCTCAGTCTCTGGCTGCCTTATTTAACTCAGATGTTTAGTATCTGAAATTATACCCAACCTATGCATTTACATCTGTGCTTACACTAAATCTTAGTCAGCTTCAGTTATTTCTGTGGCAGAGCAGTGTATTAAAAATGTCATTTTTCCACTGCTGTTAGAGTTAAGAACTGAAAATCTGGGATCACCCACAGGCTCTTTGGAGCCTTGGACAGGTTCCACAGCCATTCCCTGAATTTCTTTTACAAAGCAAACAATGTCCACCCAAAGGAGCATGCTGTAAAGGTTTAGGAAAGCCTGAAACTCTTTGAAACTGCATAAGGGCGTTGCAGGAGCTCAGCGTGTCTGGTTTGGTTCTGCAGACAAACAGCTCCTTGTGGAGGTGTTTAGTGGGATATGGATCCCATGGGAACTGGTGCTGCCTTTTGACATCCCTGAGGGAGTTTCAAGGAGTGAGTGGGGAAGCTGAGTGTTGCAGGGGTGAGCTGGGTTTGTGCTGCAGCAGCAGCTGAGCCTGGACTTGCTGCCAGATTCAGTGCTGGAGTTTTGCAGTGTTTTTAACTGGTCCATTTACTCTTGATTCCAGGCTAATCTAGATGAAAGCCAGATGAGTTCACCTACATTCCTTAGAGCTTTAATGACAGCAGTTTGTAAAGCAGCTATTATAGGTGAGTAACTTGCAGTGTAAACACCACACAAACCAAACCTGCAAAGAATTATTTGGTATTTTTCAGGTTTATATCACATTTCCCTGCCCAAGGCTGGTTTTTATCACACACTAAGGCTTTTCCATCATTCGGGATTGTGCCTGAGAGCAGGGTGTCCCTTCACCCAGCCAAGTGCTTTGCCGGGTGTGGTGTTCCTGAGGTGACCCTGGTGTGTCCCAGTGACGTTGTGTGAGCAGGGGTTTCAGACAGCGCTGGGTAATGCCAGGTTGTTTGCTGATTTTCATAAGGAAGGTGGAAATGACAGAGATGATCATTAAGGCAATTAATATTTCCACTCCTGTGTCAGCAAAGATGCGTGGGCACCCCAGTGTGGGCTGCAGGAAGAAGCCAGCCTGGGACTCAGGCTTGTAAAGTTCTATATGCAAAGTTTCAATTTTGGAAAAATGGTTTATGTGGATTGCCTGACTATACAGCTGGAAACAGGAAAGGGAGGGCTCCCTAATCAGACACGTGAGCCTCAGACCCTGGGGGGGGTTGAGTAAAGCACTGCAGCCAGAAACATCTGCTCAGTTCACTTGGTTTTCTTTAACTTTACTGTTGCCATCTGGCACAGCATAAAGTGGTGCTTGTAAAGGGTCTGGTTCTGCTCCGAGCTGTGATCTAGGGGAGGGGACGGGCTAGATTCCACCTTGTGAGGGAGGGGAGGGACAGCGCAGCTCATTCCTCTCTCTGGGAACAGAATTTTGCTCGTGCCACCTAGTGTTAACAGAGACATGATGCAGGACTTCATTTCCAATGTTTAAGGGTTCCCTGTTGTGTAAGGAAAATCATCCTCTGGTTTGAATTTTGACCTTGCCTCTGAGGTTTTTCTTGTTTTCAAAATATCACTTAATTGGGTTGCATGATCTGCTTGAAAGCTACTGAATAATTTATCCTTGTGGCTGATGGACTTCTAATGCATATTTTTAATATATTTTGTATATAAATGTATTATTTATATATTTATGGGTTTTTTAATATGTGCAACTTATGATTCTGTTTCTACCCTGGTATTTTTAGAAAAAAAAGAATTTATAAAAACCTTCTAAACACAGTTGCCTGTGGAGACACAATTCGCACTGCAAAGTACGGTTATGCTGCTTCTGTGTGTGTTAGACCTGGGGTCACTGCAGGCAGTGGCTGAACTTGGAAACTGTAAAGACCAAGGCTTCCAGAAATAGCCATTAGCCAAAAAATACTTCCTGTTGTTTCTCATCCTCCTTTTCTCTCCACTTGAGTCTGTGTTTGTGATTGATCTGTGCATGAATAAAGCCAGTCAAAGATCTGTCCCTGTTGCCGTGTGGTAAGCTGACCCTGCTTTCTCCTCTTCCCCTCAGCGGACTCTTCCAGCTTCCGAGTGGACACTGCTGTTATCAAACAGAGAGTGCCCATCTTACTCAAGTACCTGGACTCAGACACAGAGAAGGAACTACAAGCACTTTATGCACTACAAGCATCAATAGTAAAACTTGATCAACCTCCTAGTAAGTGTTGCCTCTGTGCTGGGGATTTGAGCCCACATAAGGGAAGGGGGTTCTGTGGGAGACAGGAAGATGTACTTTTCCTTACCTTGTAGGTAGCTAATGAGAGAAGCTGGTATGGGTGGGTTCAGCTTGTCTAGATCCCAGCTTTTTAGAGCAGCTCAGATTCCCAAATGCTTGACCAGAGGCTGGCTCTTCTTTTGGTTGCTCCTGTGAGCAGCCACACAGAAGGACAAACCTCTGTCCTTCCAAAAGGAAGCAAAAAAAGAGCAGTAAAAAATAATCTGTTGCGTTTGCAGTACCTGGGCATGTGAGAGCATGAGTGTTGTTACTGCACTGCTACTCCAGAGATGTCTGTGGGCTTGGAGAGAATAATATGCGTTGGTCAGCTGATGAGTTTTGTCCCAGAGATGCTACAGAAAACTCTTGTGGGACAAGAGGCAAGAGAGTAGCCAAACAGGGATTCCCAGGGAATCTACAGCACGAAATCCAAGAGTGCCTCAAAACATCCCAACATGATCGTCCTTAGTGCCCTTTATGGCATTAGTTGGGCATTATCTCTTCTGATGAGCCACAAAAATCTGGAGTTGGAGGGAATCCAGACTGTGGTCCAGAGGAGGTGGGCTGCTGTGAGTCCTGCTTGCCAGCCAATCTCTAGATAGCATATTCCCACAGCTGCTTTCCCAGCTTTCCCTCTCCTCTGACAGTGTCAGAGGGGTTGGTTTTCCCCCTCACCTGAGTGTGAGCAGCCTGGAAGCAATAACTGAGTAAGAGCCCTTTGTTTTCCTTGTCTCACCACCTCCTGTGCCAAGAGGTCACATTAATCCCCTTTTCTGCAGCCAGTCTCTGTCCACAGCCACAGCTGACAGATGTTCCCTCCATTATTCCATTACTGCAGATTTGTTGCGGATGTTTTTTGATTGCCTGTATGATGAGGAGGTCATTTCGGAGGATGCCTTCTACAAGTGGGAAAGCAGCAAGGACCCAGCGGAGCAGAACGGGAAAGGAGTAGCGCTGAAATCTGTCACAGCGTTCTTCACGTGGCTACGGGAGGCCGAAGAGGAGTCCGAGGATAATTAAAACTTAAATACAGATTTAAAACAAACAAACAAAAAAGAAACAATTTAAGTATTTTTTTAAAAAGTTTCACGTCTTCGCCAATCACAGTGCAGCAAGGCCAATTCTCTCTCGCAGACCCCCTTTGCCCCACACACGCACCAGTGGGAGAGGTAAAACCCGATAAACACCGAGGTGATCATGGAGGCAAAAAGGTAC